GAAAGTGGTTTCCCAGCCCCGGTGGCCAGTGTAGGCATACACTGATACTAAATGATTTTCCCTCAACCACTCATGGGTTTCACCCGCAGAAGCCATGGAATGTGCTCACATCCTAAAATATCCGGGCGCTTGCAATCGATGCTTTCACCTAAAATTTCCATACAATGACCATTAAGTGGACACAAAAGTAGCCATTGACCACTTTGACATATTTCGCATTAAGAACCAGCACCCAGAATCAGCCTTCTCCAATCTTTCTTCCTGTTGGAAATGGTTCTTGGACAATGTTGGACATGCCCACATTTGGGGGTCCAAACCCTTAATTCCGGTAAAGATGTTGTGTCTCCATTGCATGGATCACCTGCTTTTTGCAGGGATCAGGAAGTGTGATGTCACTCTTGTGACTCATCGCTCCCAAGACACGTCATGGAAGGTGTGATGACACCTCTCTTTTACTTTGGAACACATCTTGAAGCCATCTAACCTAACTATGCCCAGCTGCCTTAATCGTCAAACCCGGCTCGCCTTTTAGAGTGTCCCAGCTCAATTACCCTATGGGTTTCCAACCGGGGACTTTTTTTCGAACAATAGGCGTCTTATATAATCTTTTGTTCACGGCTAATCTTGGATACCCTTACGAAACAAAAGGCAGCTTTGGGCTTCCACTCTTCCGACAAATTCGTCTCCCAAATTTCCTTGTCTTGTCTGAAAATAGGCTACCCCAATCCATCCATTGGTTCATCATTCTTATTCAAACGGCCATTTTCATATCGGGAGACCCGGTCAAAAGGTCATTTCTTGGGACTCTTGGGATGCACATTTCGCGACTTCGCGTAGGATCCAAGGACTTGTGCCCGGATGGACATGGAGCTTGGCGGCTCCTCATGCTCGATGGCCCGCACCAAGAGCACCGCACCGTCGTTGCAGTGGCCCTCGTAGTCCCTGGCCGAAAAGACGCGAATCAACTTCTCATCGTGCATCAAGTCGAAGCCCAAGCCATATCGCCTTGGAGATGAAGCTTGACTTTCACTTGATGTCGATTTTGGAAATGATGTGTTGCATGATGACGACGACGACGACGACGACGACGATGACGATGATGACGATGATGACGATGATGATGATGATGATGACGATGACAATTACGATGACAATTACGATGACGATGATGATGGTCATTATCATGATCATGATCATGATGTTTGTTAAGGCTGGTGCAAACAATGTCATGTTTATTTATTAGTCAGTTTCTACTCTATGAATTTCAGCAGCGTGTTTTCTGTGGATTCCATAAGACACTGCAGTTCCTTCTTCGCTTTAGCGGCTGAAAGAACCACAGTTCATCAATTTTCGAACACCAAGGGTCTTTGACTGGTGACTCCGAACCACCATGGCCACACCATTTCGGGCACAAAAGGTTTTCGTCACGTCCCAGCCGAAGAGCACCGCAGTGGTGTTTCTGGGGCTTTCGTGAACCCCAAAGACTGGGCCAGTCTCGCTCTCGTCACATCGTTGTGCCAGGTCATCCTACGGAGAATGGGCTGGATGGCTGATCATTATTTCGATTATCGTATGTATGTATATATGCAGATATAGATATATGCATATATACATATATATATATATATATACATATTTACATATATACATATATACGTATGTACATACATATGAACATATATACATATTTACAAACTTACATATATACATATATACATATATATATGCATATATATACATATATATATATATACATACATATATGTATATGTCTGTATATACATATATATATACATATACATATATATATATATCTATACATATATACATATATATATATATACATATATATATACATATATATATACATATATACATACATATGTTTATGTGTGTGTATGTCTATATATAAATAGATATAATTATATACTACCAAACGTGGCTTACCTATTGGATCCTATTGGCCTGCTATTGTTTAAGAGAAAAGGACCATGGCAAACTGCCAGATGATCAGGGACCATCCCATCAATATTCCCCCGGCACAGACAATGCCGGGTATGGCCCTGAGCTTATGAAAATCACCAGCTCCATAGCCACCGCCAAAATGATGGAAGTTGGCAAAAATCCCTGTACACTATTGATAAAAGTACCTCTATGTGTATATATATATATGTATATTATATATATTCGATTATTATATAATCATCATTGTTTTCTTATTATTGCAAAGGGTTTCTCGCCTAAGTTCTGTTCACGATCCACTTGTAGTAGCCACCACGTATCCCGCGATCAATCTCGGTCCGGCAGCGCTTTTCTCGCTACAAATCGGACAAGTTGGTTTTTAGTCGAGACTTGAATTGGAAAAAAGAGGTAGCTGCGGTCAAGACAGCTAAAGAAAAGGTTGGAGTTTGAGTGCAATATGTATACGTGCTATGTACGCTCCTATCTGCACTCCCACTTTGAAGCCTTCGGAAGGAGCTTCAATTTCTACAGGTTCCAGCTCAAGCTACCCTATGTGCCATCTAGGCATGCTGTACAAATTGAAAAACTACGGGCTCCCTCAGCACGGCTGCAAGTCACATCGGTATGGGCATATGAATGTAGTCCCGCCAACAGTATTGTAGCACCAGGCCCAGGAATTCTTCCAGTCTGATTACACTATCCATGAAACGTCGTCGGCCCAGTGATTGGTGCAGTCAGAAAATGGCAGTTATATCGCGTATGATACACCGTTTCATGGCGTGTGGTGATCACCTTAAATGGAAGTTCTGGTATTGCCGGCGTTGGGTCTCTGCGTCACAGAGTTTGAGGTTGAAGAGGTCCAAGGCGAGGGTCACCTGGAGGAGCCTGAGTAAGCTCCTCTCATACCACTTCCTGTTCAATCTGTCTCCATTCTTCTTCATAGTCTGGCATCGGTGCGTCATGTACTCGCAAAGCAGCCAATGCATTTGTGAGGCCGGTGGATTGTGAACTTGTTCGTCTCGGGCTTTCTGGTTCTGGGTCTGGTTGCGGAGCATTCCTATTTGATCTCGGAGCATCATATTGAGCTGGTTGCGGAGCGACATGTTCTGGATCTTCTCCTCCCGTGGCAGTGGAACTTTTTTCCACCAAAGGTTCAATGCGATCTCTTCGAGATGCCTCATTTTCCTCCACAGCATCATTGGCGTGACTTCCAGGTTGAGCTCGAACAACACACTGTCATATGACAAATTCGGCTCCCCGTACTGCAACATCCAAAAAACGCTGTGCCACCAGAGTAAGAAAGATAACCAGGAGGGTATAGATCATGATAATCTCAAAAGAAAAGGATCCATCCGCTTCAACTTCTTCTCCTTTTTCCGCTTTTGAAACAGAAAGAGTTGCAGCCAAAGTGATGAGATGCAGCACTGGCGTTGTTCACACAAGCCATTTCAACTCTTTGTTGACCAACCGGTCGTCCTTCTTTCCTTCTTTTTCCTTAACCTTTTCTCCTCCTTCTTTCTCTTCAATTTCGACTTCGTTTTCATTTGGGTTGCAAAACTTTCCCATGCACATGAGATTTTTGAGGAAATTCAAACGTGCAGCAGTCAATGGCTATGTTCCAATGTCAGCCACCATTGATTCACCAGGTACATGTTGAATCGCCCACTCACCTGCAGCTACCGCTTGCCTCGCAAAGGCCGCTCTCAGCTTCAAATGGCGAGTGCGCCGGCTTCCTCCATTACCTGCAAGTATAGCGAGGGCAGGCATATTGTCAGTCTTGACAACTTTTGGCACTTCAGGGAAAAGTTCTGCTAACATCACGTGGGTCAGCGATCATGCCTTCAATGAATTCAGTGAGTTCTGCTTCGGCTGTAGACAGAGTTACAAACCCTGTCTGCCTGACCTCCGAAAGATTAGAGATGATCCCAGAAGGACGATGAAAGAGCCATGGGATTCCTCAGAGTCAGGGGCAAAGGAGGCATCCGTGTAGACGGTCAACGCAGGAAGTTTGTTTTCTTTCACATCGAATTTCAGACCTTCAGCAGCAGTGGTGGCCAAATAGCCTCTGAGTTGAGTGCTAGCCAACATCACAGCTTGGCGCCCTCGTAACCGCAGAGCCCATCCTAGAGACAACGTACATGATGTCTGGCCTCGCTCTTGTTGTAAGCCACAAGGCTTCACCCACAGCTTTCTGGGCTGATCGAACTTTTTCAATCGAAGGTGACTCCTCCCTTGGTTCCATCGCAGATTGATCTCGTGACAGTGGAATCTTCTTCGGATTTACGTTTTCGTTCTCCTTTTGGGCCAAGTCAAGCGTATAGCTTTGTTGTGTCAGCATCCACGCATCTCTTTTGGTCTCTGCGTCGCAGAGTTTAGAGATTTCCATTCCAAGGAAACGTACTGGAGTGCTGGATACTGGCTCAGGAACTGACGTAGTCCAAGTCGACTGTATCTTGTTCTGGACGGCCAACACGAGAGGTTCTGGAGCTGCAGTCAAGAGATCGTCCACATAGGTCATCAAGAGCCCAGAGACCGTCAGGTCATCTTTATCATCAGCATTTTGCAACTTCCACAGATTTGGTTCAGATTGAAGAGGCTCGAGGACAAAGTTCATGGATTTCCCTTCATGCTCCCCCTCAATGTTAAAGCCATTGATAGTTTCATCTCTAGTCAAACCCCATAATTTTGGAGATCGACGGAAGCCGTAGATGGCTTTCTCAGGCTTGTGGAGGACGTCCTTTCGCAGGAACTTCTTCTAAGTGAAGAGGTATGGACGCTTCACCAATATCAAGTCTTCGTCCTCCGACTGGACCATCTTGGCATTAAGAAAGGCTGTTCTCACATCAAGAGTTGTAGCACACCATTGGCCACGGGCAGCTACCCAGACCAGGATGCGGAGAGCTGAAGCATCAGCTCCACTGCTGAAGTTGTCTTCTTCTTCACGGCGGGGTTCCAAATTTCCGCATGCTACCCACCGCACTTTCTTTTTGCCACCATCAGGGCGAGGTTTTCTAGTGAAAACCAGTTTGGATGGGATATATTCGATCCCCTTTCCCTTCTTTTCTGCGTCCTCCTTGAGCTTTTGAAGTTCTTCTGGAAATACTTCGTTAAAATCTTCTTTTTCGTTCAGCAGGGCCTCAACTTCACTACGAACTGCAGGAAGCCACTCTTCCCAGCTCTCAGCTACTTCTCGGGGAGATACGATTTTGGTCTGCAAGACCTCCTCTTCGTTTGGCATAACCGCCAACTTCTTCAGCTTCGAAAGGATTTGAAGCTCTTCCAAGGCCAACTCCGCATCATCCTCCACCATTCTTCTCATCTCTTCTTCGATCACGCTTAAAATCTTTACCCTTCTCTTCTTTTCAGCTTCCTCTTCATCCTCAGCCTGATCTTTTTCCTCCATCCTTCGGACTGCAGACTTTCCGCGCAATCTTCGCCTCACCATGACTGCATCTGCTGCTTCTCTTTCCAAAGCAATCCAACCTTCTTCAGTGACTGGAAGGTGTGCAGGTTTCATGATGAGCTTAGTGATGCGAGGACGTTCACCTTCAGGTAGGATCCAATGACCATGGTCTTCAGGTGAGGGGCAAAGGTACTTGACATTCTCCGTGGAAATTTCAAATACACCACGGCGCCACTTTCGTTTTCGGACCATGACAGTAGAGAGGAATGGTGGCCAATCTGGCCTTTTCCCAATTCGAGCAGCGCGATTGAGCTCGTTGACAAACCTTGTTGCCCAGGGCCACCAAGATCCAGGAGCTTCAGCTTGCAGTAGAACTCGGCGAATCTGGGTTTTGATTGTTTTCACAGCACATTCAGCACGGCCGTTCGATCGAGGGTCATCACCAGGGGTTCTTGTGAGGTGATTCCCCGTTCACGACACCAAACTTTGAACTCCCCTGGGAATTCATGCCCTTGGTCACTGTGTATGTGGCCAATGTGAAATCCATCAGCTCGCAGTCGAAGAAGCATGTCCATGGTGACCCTCGTAACTTCTTTGGCCTTTTTGGAGTCCATTGGATAGGCAAGTCAAAAAACCCTTGTCTCAAATTCTGCAGGCTTTTCTTCCTCCTCACCTTCTTTCTTTTCTTCTTCTGCTTTTTCGCCTTTCTTTTCAGCTTCGCCCTCTGGGGCATTTTGTACCTCAGGTTCTTCAATTTCCTCTTCAGGATCGCCGAAGATGCCTTGAGCTGGTTCGTGTTCAGCTGGTTCATCTTCAATTTGTGGCTGGTCTTGTTCTTCACCCTTCTTCGCGTCAAAGTTAGGGGCTTCTTCTTCCAGCTCCTCAACTTGATCCTCCTTCAATGGTGAACCCTTTGGTACCGTCCATGTCAGAGCTCCCACAAGGATATAACCTGTTTTGTAACCTCCAGAATCATAGGCTCGGATAAATGGTCCAGCGGTGTCAACTGAAAGAACTCCACCGAGAGGATGCTTGACTTTTCGATGAGGCGGCTGTTGTTGAAGACTTTGTTGGCACACCAAACAGTCGCGGCGAAAAGGTACATGACCATGTTGTAGATGTTCTTGCCAGCTCAGCGGCGCGAGCTTTGGTTGGCAATGAACAATTTGGGTGAGCAAGGCTTCAGCGACCATACTCATAGTTCCAGGTGCCCATCTTGAGAGCTCAGATGATGATTTGATCTTGGTGACATTGCATCGAGGCATTCGATGACTTTCGACGTTGAGGTTCAAGTTGCTAGCCATAGTCGTTGGCTTTGTTGCAGCACCTCCGTGTCGATCTTGTGAGAAGGTAGTGTCTTCAAAGTTGAACTCCTCTTTGAGCTTTTTCCATTCTTTTGTGTCCCAAAAGGATACACATTCCGGCATGTAGTGCCGAGGCGACGCAGGTTGTTCCAGCAGGGAACACCACAGGCTTTTGAACTTCTCGTGCTTGTCGTAGATATGTTGCAACTATCCATAGAAAGATGAAGCGCCACATCAAGACATCATCTTCATCCAACTGTCGTTGTTCAGCAGGTGATAGATCAGAAAGACCATGTTCAGCTCCATGCTACGCTCAGATTGGTCGCGGAGCATTTTCTTTTGGGTAATGCCGGAAGACAGATCTCGTTCTCCAATTAGGTCCGGCAATGAAGGCATCCACCTTGTCATGCATGACAGCGCAAAGGAGACCAGAGTACGTTCCAACATCATTCAACATGTTGTGGAACTCACCACGTTTCAAGTCAATCTCAAGTAGTTGATTGGTGTTTCCCCCTTGCTGCTTCAAAGCTCTAAACAAAGTGAACCCATCATCTTCTCCAGCATATAGATGCACCAAACAGCTATCACGCTGAAGACGTTTTCTTTGGCGGCGACTGATTGGCAAATCTTTCCAACCGCCCACATCGGCCAAAAGCCGGTCTTGGATTCGTTGTGGAAGTTCACGGAGAACAGGGTGACTTTGGATCAACTCCTGCATCCACTTCTGCTCTTTCTCGAACTTCAGACTTCTCATCGTTTCCTCGATCAAATCCAAGGCAAGAGCTCGTGGTAGTTGAGGACATCCTTTCTGGTTTTGCACTGGTAATAGACCTCGGCGTGGATGAAGGATCTTCAAGTCACCATGCTTCCAGCAGAGGGAGTATTGGTTCGACATCGGCTCTTTCAGTCACCATGATGCCGCCAGGTGTCACTTGCAATGAAGTCGTCTCTCCATTGGCCAGCGTGACAGACACACGCTTGTAGGTTTCATCTTCTCCAAGACGTCGTGGTCGGAGAGGATGTGTGGCACCAGAATCTACAAGTCCTTGAAGACTTCCATAGCTATATAATCTGGTTAATCTTAAAGACCTTAAGTTTAAGTTGATCCAACTGGGATCTGGAGTCGATCCATGACATCTTCTCTGGAGTCAGTGGCACTCCCAGTCGCCGTTGAGGATGCAGCCGTCGTAGTCAAAGATTTCAGCAGTTGGCTTGCTCCAGCAATTCTTTCATGGACGGGCCTTCGGTTGACCCTTCGTCTTCCTTCACTTTTGAGCTTGTAGATGATGAATCCTCCCCCTCGACCTTCTGGATCTTGGGCTTTGTTGGAGATGCATCACCTCGGTCTTTTGGATGAATGCAAGCTGGAGCCATGTGCTTCCACAGTTCCAACATCGTCCGCGCTCATCCTTTTGATCATGCGACCAGTTGCAAGCTTTTCCACGTCGGCAACCTTGCTCGCTCAAGTAAAACTTGCATTTTGGCTTCTCTTCTCTGGAATCCTCTCGTAGGGGACTTCGTTTCTTCTTCTAACTTCTTCAACTTTGGAACCTTCGGCTTCTCGGCTTCTTGAGGTTTTGGCTTCTGTGGATCACTTCGAGTTCCAGGACGTTTTTCTGTGAGGGCAAGTTGTTCAAACTCAGCCAACAAGTGGTATGCAAACTGCTCCACATTGCAATTGACTTCACTTGGTGTTGTGTCCACTTGCAACCCTGATCTTACCAAGGATACCCTGAATTGTAGTTCTCGATGACTTTCCAAGGTTCTTTTGGTCATCTTCAGCCACCCTTTCAATTGTAGTGCTGGGTCAGGGGCAATTGCACCGATTTCTTTTGTTCTTGTCCTCCACCGAAGCCACCGTCTCAAGGCAATTGGGCCGTCCAGGACATTCTGGATCTCTGGAGGATCTTCTAGATTGCGCAGCAAGTTCTGCTGCTCAGATATTCCACCAGGGCTGCAGGTGACCAGTAAGTAGGTCAAGACACCACATGTTGATAGACGTCTTGAAGCTACCAGCTCATCTCTCACCTGTGAAGGTACTGACTGCAGGATCATGGACACTACGCGGCGTTCCACTCGCGTCCATTTTTCCAGACACAGCGCCGGGGGCGCTTCCGCAGGATGCTTAATGCGATCCAATGGACTGAGAGACATGTGACGGTTTGTCAAAATGTCTGTTCCCGGTTTTGTTGGTAAATCGCAATTCCATGCGTGCCGCCTCATGTTTGCCTTTAAAAAACATGACCTACCTTGATGGCGTGAAAACGTGGAAATTCTTCATTACCTTTGGAAATCTTTCTAAAACCACAGGAATCGGCTAACGCACGTCGGTTTTCATTCGCTGTCGCTGGTACTATCTCCTGAACTGTGTGTCTCTGTGTGTGCCTCTCTGAATGCAATATGCCTCTTGACATGCCTTCGGATCAACGCTGTTTCCTTACTGTAAGCCACCAAAGCGTGAACATGGCTGTGCCTCTGAATGGGCTGCGGGTGGACCGGGGCATGTATTTGCAATCTTCGCTAGCGCGTTGCTAGCGGCGATCTAGCGCGTAAAATACGTAATAAAAAATCGAAAATTTGGGAATATGTGGAAACTGACAGACTTGTAAGAAAAGCTGGCAAGACATTCACGACATGGAGGCCATGGCTGTCAATCAAACCTAGCACAAACCTAGCGGGTTTGCTAGCGCTGCCTTGCAGAATTGCTGAATTTAGTTGCGTGCCGCCTCATAACGAATAGGAAAAAACAGTAGACCCAGATGAATTATCAACAACCAATACTAAACTTCTAAACAACAATTTTTGACAAATGGTCATGTGGTGCCTGTACCAAGCCTCGGCAGCGCAGACCACATCTTTCCACCATTCAGCAGCCGTCAAGACTGAAAGATCTGCTATGATCGGTTCTGCTAACAGCAGCCAATCTCCAAGAATCAGAGGTCCTTGTTGTGCTTCCCATGGAGCGAGAGGAGGTAGGTCAGGACTTCCAGCCCGTATAGTTTCAAGTCCTCTTACTGTCCCCATGTCATCTCGAGGTTCTTGCATTCGTTTCTGCATTTCTGTCATGGAATCCATCATTAAGGACATGAACTCCAGGGACTTCTCCGTAAAGCTTGCAGTTCCATCATTTTTAGACCTTTGGGGCCCGGCGGCCTCTTTGGTGGTCTCAGCCTCCTTACTTCGGAAATTTCGTGTCTCTTCAGCTTCAGTCTTTGGGGGTCTCACAACCTCCTTTGTGGTGGTCTTAGCCTCCTTTTGTTCCCCATTGGGTGTGGAGAACTGCGGTTCTCCTTCCTTCTGACTTTCCAAAGCTAAAACATGTTCTCGAAGTTTCTTGTTTTCTTCCATCAGCACTTCTAAATCCCTTTTTAATCCCAGGTTTTCTTGAGGTCCAGGATTTTGAGCACATGGATATAAACTAATTGTGGTGCCTCTCCAACTTGTAAAGACCCTTGAACCCTACGTTCATCTTGTTCTAAGAAGAGTGGTCTAGCAATTGGAGGGGGCATAGTTAATTGATGATACCTCAATTGTTGTGCGCCAGGATACAGCCAAGGAGCTTGATCGAACATCTCCTGGCACTGTCTCAGCTGGTGCTTGTCAAACAAAGGTTGAGTTGGTGAAATCACGGCCTGGACATAGATGCAGTACTAGATGGAGCAACTCGTTGCGCTCGTTCGGAAACGTTTCCTGCGCTTGGAGGTCCATTTGAAACACCCTGCACATTCGATTCCGACTTCACGGCCGAAACATCAGTCACAGTAGGCACTAGCGATTTCGAAGATTCAGCAGCAATCTGAGGAGTTTGCATTGGGGGATTTCCCTCAGAGCGCTTTGATGGTGTTTCCTCGGTTTTCCTTGGTGTTTAGGTTCTGACTTGGAACGATTTAATGACCTTGCAGGCTGGCCTGAAGACCTTGCAGCTAGTCCCTGATTTGTCGGGTCAGGAACAGTAGGTGAAAAGGACTTCGGGGCATTTTTTGGTACATCCTCTATTCCCAGCGGTTCATTTTTGGGGCTGTAGGTGATTCATAGACTTCTTTTGCCTCAGGTTTTTCCACATCTTCTAACTGCGGCTCAGCTCCACTTGCAAGCTTAGATTCTAAGCGCTGTTGCGCCCTCTTCATTTCATCTTCAGCTTGTCGAAGTTCGGCTTCTGTGGATCGTCTTCTGGTGAACATGCCGAAGAACTCTTTTTCAACGTCGATCTTCTTTAGGGCGTTGGGCTCAGGGCGTTGGGCTCATAGCCCAAGTTCTGTTCACGATCCACTTGTAGTAGCCACCACGTATCCCACGATCAATCTCGCTCCGGCAGCGCTTTTCTCGCTACAAATCGGGCAAGTCGGTTTTTAGTCGAGACTTGAACTAGAAAAAAGAGGTAGCTGCGGTCAAGACAGCTAAAGAGTTTGAATTTACAGCTGGAAAAGGGTGGAGTTTGAGTGAAATATGTATACGTGCTATGCACATTCCTATCTGCAATTATTATTATTATTATTATTGTTATTTTATACACTGATATATACTCTATCTTTTTAGGGAGGGACTCAATTACTACCAAACATCGCCACAAGTATGCCCTTACGTTGCTTCTCTTGAATGTCCATCCCCACTTTGGGCTGATGACATCTCCATCGAAGCATCACTTGTCTTCCTTGCTCGCTCCATCTTTCGCCACATCACCCCATCATCGCGTTCCCCAAGAAACATACAGTTTCCAACCTCCAAAAAATACCGACTTTTTCCCTGCCATATGGCACATCCTTTCCTCTTCCCGCAAAAAAAAAACAGTCGCTGGTTGGTGGTTGAGCCACCCAAAAATTGTTCTCGTCAATTTGGATCATCCTTTTCAAACGTGGAAAATTCCAAGACATCTTTAAGCGCCCTCTCTTAATCAAACATGGCTTGCTGGAAAACTCAGTACAGTACAGTATAGATGATGTTTCCACATGTTTCCCAGCTGTAAATTTCATTAATTTCCCAACTTCAAAGCCACAGATCCGGATACAACGCCACAGATCGCAAGGCCTCAATTGGATCGGACCAGAGGATGTTGTGAATCCAGCGGTTTTCGCTCCTGCCCAGCTCCAGCTGTCCCAAGGGTCGCCGAATGGCACGCAGTTCGTTCAGATCCCAGCGGCCATCCCCCACACCACCGTGAACGCATAGGATTTGGCCACCCACCACACAGGCTAAAGGCAACCTGAAAAAAGATTGCACTCTGGAAATGGCAACGGATTGATACTTCTATAATCTGGATGATTCTGGATGATTCTTGATGATTCTGGATGATTCTGGCTTTGGAGACAAGATCAGTGATAATAGTTTGTTGAAATCCATCATTTACACCACCAAAGAATCCGTGGTTTTTGCCAAGTGATTCAGCAAAGAACTGGCAATTATTGATTGAATCTTATGAAGTAGGTTTTGCAGGATGGACAGGAAAGTCTGGTATGTCTGGCTGAAAGTTCTACAAAACGAGTCACTGATCAAACGCATTTTGCAGAAGGTCGTAGGTCTTTGAACCAAAGGTGTCTCCTAGGCGTTCCTGACATTCGTCAAAGAAGCCATATCTCGCGTTCATGGTCCTGTCACCGATGATGTCCGTTTACACAAAAATAATACATGGACTGGACTGGTTAGGACACCAGTGCCATTTATATGAGTCCGCTAATTGTGAAGAATGTGGGTCACCCCGCACCCCTGTGGTTTCATATGTTTCATCAAACACTGGAGACGTTGGAGACGTTGGAGACGTTGCGCCGTGGCGTGGGTCCGTGGGTCCTGTCTTCATGGTTTCCCCGCACCAGCCAAATTCGGTTGGGCATGGAGACTTTCAATGCTAACAGCAGGCCGATGACCTCCAAGGAATGAGCGCCCCGGTCAACAAAGTCTCCATTGAAGACGTAGGACATCCTGCAGCGTTTTTGTTTCCAAGGACAAAAAGAAATCACAGTTTGCGATTTTCTGGTGGATTCCCGATTTTGTGGTTGTCTGATTTTGTCAAAAGGAATTACCGCTAGAAAACCATAATTATTCATTAAGAAAAGAAGACAACAAAAAGAACATATTATATCTATTTCCAAACGCCCAACTGGGCCAATCAACAAAAAATGTATTCAAGATCAAAAAACAAGAATCGCATCATCATCCGCGGTATCTTCCTTACTTCCCGGGAAGCCAAAGGCTGCAAAGAGCAACAACAGATCCCGCAGCTGGCCATGGAGGTCGCCAAAAATTCGACATGGCACTTGAGCCGCTGCCAGCACCGGTTGCGAAGCCAGTAACTTAGCACCTGCTTTCGCCAGTATCATCAAGGTGTCAATATATTCCTGGCTGCGGTTCTGGTGTTTTTTTCGACCCGAAAAAAGCATAGGAAAGGCCATGGGGATCATCGACCGATCAAATGGCCAGAAAGTCGGGTGCATCGTTTTCCCAAGTTCAGACCCACCCAGATTCTGTGTTTTGGGGTGGATACCCCAATGATATGGCCATGATGATGAGTTTTTTCACGGGGGAAGGCTAAATGAGTTTAATTGGTTTAAAAAATGATATTTGACGAGGTTTCAGGGACGTCTATATACCATTATATATCGACCAAATCGCGAACATCTGAAAAGGGAACGAGATGTTTTTTAAAGGTTCATCAACGCCGACTTTTAGGAATAGGTGGTGTTGGCCAAGACCCAAATGAACACGTTAAATCTAAAAGAAAAAACTAGTGTGGGTCGGTTCTACTGATTGGTTGAGTACAAAGTGTCCATAGTCCATAGTTGATCATGATTTTCTTTCTGAACCAAAAAGTAGACGCCCCAGTTGTGGTCGCCTTGAGGATTTTGGCATATCGAGTCAAATTGGAGGGGGCAAGCTTGGCAACATGAACATCATTCCAACAATTTCCCTCTGGTGGACCAACCTTGTGAAATAATGTGAAATATCCATCGTGTCTCAGCGGGAAATCATCAATAAATGGTGGGTTTGTCCAGTGTCTCAGTCTGTTTTCTGTTCCAAAAACTCAGAAGAAAACAACTTCCAATCAATTTCGGCCCAGATTCTGAAGTAAAAAGCTCGGACAGTGCGCCACCTTCATTGGTGCGCCAGTCCGCATGATACATGTCCCCTTTTTCCTGGACCACGCGCGCGGACAGAGAGGCAGCAGCAGTTACAACTCGTCGTGCCCTTCCCTCAATCCGCCTCCAAACCCGGGAGTTCTGTTCAAGTCGTGCCTGTTGAGCGCGAATCACATAGACACTTCCCATGGTGGTGAGAGTCAACACCCTGCTGAAGATCAACTTTCCAGAAAGCACACCCCATTTGGTGAGTACCTCCACCTCAGGGTGGCGTCAGCCGACTCAAAAGCCATGGCTGCAAAATTTGGAGATGGTTTCATTATTGATTTACTGCCATGAGGATTATGATTCATGAGTAGTTTTTTGGGGGAATTTCTAGCAATGGTGGATTAATGAATGTGTTTGACTATCATGAAATCCCCTGATCAGAGATAAAATCATACCCAACACGGGACCAAGATATAGATCCAGTACTAAGTCCTAAGGTTTCTAGCAAGGGGGGAAGTATTGAACAAATGAACGGGGGAAAGGATTCACCCATTTATCACTGGTTTGTAAGTCGATCAAATATATAATATATACTGTATATATATATATATGTGTGTGTGTGAACCATATCTTAAACATCATTGACCCTTCATCATGATTTTTGCTTCGCATTTCGCACCTCATTCCTCCGTTTGGTCTTGGGCGTAATTGCCCCTGGGTCCTGCGGATTTTCCGGCACTGGCAGCTGTGGTGAGTCCTGCTTCGCCGGACCATGAGCACCGGGCCGGTGATGCTGTACCTCTTCGACCAAGGGTAGGGCCTCGGCCTTCTTGGACAAGGGGTCGTAGAAGTCAAACTCGGCCTCGGAAATGGGGGACAGACATCTTGGGACCTGAAAATGTTAGGAGGATTTAGGGGAAAACGATGTAAAACTCCGAAATCTTCTGGTGTTTATCATCACTTCCCTACTGAAATTGTCAGAAATGGGGGTAGATACCCAGTTTTCAGACACACGCAAATCAACATCTTCAAAATTGTGTCTTTCTCCCAAAATGAGAGTAAGAATGATCAACGTGAAAATCATGATGAACATGACTCGAGCATTTGGGGATAGGTCATGCCACCGATGTTGCGTTTTCCTATCTTTTCTTGCCGGAGACGAACATTCAAAAGTACCAGTTACAGTATCTTAACTTTGTGAAACCAAAACAGGTGGATGAGACGACATATCCAAAACCCATCTGTTTTTGGCGATGTTGTTCAAGCCTCCATGAACACCGGCGCCCGCATCTCGAAACCATCCACATCAGAGAATTCAGATTCTCGATCGACATGTTCCTTAGTTGTGTGGTGAAGAGTGGATAAACCATTCGGGTTTTACCACCGGTTTAGCCACCCAGGCACACAAATATTGCTCAGGTCAAGGGTGTTGAATCATGAATCATCTTCAATATCTTTCGAGATCAAAAAAAAAAGCCCGAAGAATATCCCCAACTGCAACAACTACATGAAAAAGACAAATAATGTTTGTCGGAATGATGTTTGAGAGCTGTTTGAGATAAACCGAGATAAACCTCTGATTGACAATCTGTAGGGAACAACAAAAACTTTTCTTGGACACCTGTGCCTGGACACCTTGCTCGCGAATCTGTTCCCAGGAGCTTTGCTTGGGAACCCTTGCTTGGTAACCTCGCTTGGGAACCTGTTCTTGGAAACCTGTTCCTGGGAACCTGTTCTTGGAAACCACCTTGCTTGAACACCTGTCTTGGGAACCTGTTCTTGGAAACCTTGCTTGGGGACCTTGCTTGTGAATCTGTTTTTGGCAACCTTGCTTGGAATCCTGTTCTTGGAACCCTTGCTTGGCAACCTCTTCTTGGAACCCTTGCTTGGAAATGCTTGGAAACCCTTTCTTGGGAACCTTGCTTGGGAACCCTTGCTTGGGAACCCTTGCTTGGGAACCCTTGCTTGGGAACCCTTGCTTGGGAACCTTGCTTGGGAACCTTGCTTGGGAACCTGCTCTTGGGAACCTGTTCTTGACAACCTTTGGGAATCTTTGGGAACCTGTTCCTGGGAACCTTGCTTGCAAACCTTTGGAAACCTTGCTTGGGAACCTTGCTTGGGAACCTGCTCTTGGGAACCTGCTCTTGGGAACCTCTTCCTGGGAACCTTTCGGAACCTTGCTTGGAAACCTGCTCTTGGGAACCTGTTCTTCGGAACCTGTTCTTCGGAACCTGTTCTTCATAACCTTTGGGAATCTTTGGGAACCTGTTCCTGGGAACCTTGCTTGCAAACCTTGCTTGGAAACCCTTTCTTGGGAACCTTGCTTGGGAACCCTTGCTTGGGAACCCTTGCTTGGGAACCTTGCTTGGGAACCTTGCTCAAGCCAGCCAAAGCTAGATGATTCATGGTGGATTTCCCAAGGATCGAGGCCACCAGGCCACATCTTACCCTTGGTGGCAAGACTGAACAGGAGAAACAAATTGAACCTCCTGAAACGCCAAACAGCTATTGCTGTGAGGACAGGGAAAAAATGGCCACAGCTGGCTCCACCATCCCATGGGCCCTCGCCCAGAGGGGTTGTCTTGGACAACACAAGTCGTGAACGCCAAAAAGGGCTACAGAAATCTCCAGTCTTCAAAAGTCAGAGTCATGAGGAAGGAGCCCTAACGAACATCGTTTCAGACATTGGCTCCAAAATCCATCGATAGGTACAAAACTGGATGTTCTGTCCCAGGTTCTGTATGTTCTGTCTTGTGGACAGTCACACAATGGCCGGGGGACAGAACTGTGCAGGAAGGAGCCTCTCATTCAGAGCATCATCAGTAGCAGGCCGACGGTCAGGATGAAGGCCATCTATGGCTGCAACTCGGCTCGCCGCCGCAACGCAGCGCGGGCACGCCAGGATCGTACCACCACACAGGCTTCTTGCAACAAGGTCGCGCTTCCAGCCCCAAAGCCATGGAGAGCAGAGGCACGGCCGATGCGACTCAGGGCCTTGGCAGCCTCAGGGGCCCAGGCTCCAGTCGTTTCCACCACCAGAGGTAGGAAGTGAACGTTCTGGGCACGACAGACGGCCTCGGTGTCCAGGTGTTTGCGCTTGTGCTCAGAATAGGCTGCCGCGGCGGCTGCTGGTGTGTAGCTTCCCGGCGCACCAAGGACGTCCAACCGCTGAGGCGCCGTGACGGCGAAGTCAATTGCAGTAGGACGGCCTTGGAAGGACGGAAGGAAAACATCAGCAGGCCGACGGCGAGCAGCGCTCAAGTCATCAGGTTGCTGCGGGAGCAACAGGCCGGGCCGCTCACGCTCAGGGCGAAGGCAGCCGCGTTCACACCACTGGAAAACAAGGTCCCGGAGCGCATTATGGCGGAGCGTGCGCTCCCCTCCAGCCGAACACATTCCTGAGTGGTACCCATGGGTGTCGAGGACGGCATCGCATCTGGGGCACCAAGTGTCGGCACTGGCTTCAGGGACATTGAGACGCACCCGTAGCTCAGCGATGAACACCAATGGTTCCATCCGAGTGCGGCCAGAGGGCACACAAGAGAGGAACCCACCGGCGCCAGGCGCAGCTTCAGAGTGCAGGGTGGCCTTGCCGACGGCAGAGGCATGTGCCAACTGGTTGGTCCAGGCCGCCTCGTCCAGAGCGCGGCTGAGCTCCTTCTGTGACTGGGTCGAGGCAGCCGGCACGGCGAATTGCTTGTCAGGAGGCAAGTTGGCGTTGAAGTCCGACAAAGCAGCCGCCACATCGGCAGACTGGTCCAGCCAGTAGCCACCATCCAGTTCGCTACATTGTCGAACACAGGCACCAACAGACGCCAAGTAAGCTGCCGGGGCATGCTCCCTGGTGAGGCGAAGGCCAAGTCCAGCATGGCCAAGACCACGTGTGGCTTGCTGCCACTGAGCAGGCTCCAAGTGCAGCCCGGTGAAGGAGCTGAAACATTCTTGCACCAAGTGGTCGAAGGTGTCGAGAGCAGCTGCGTGCCCAGCCGGAGGGCAACATCGCATGGTGTGCATGAGACGTCCAAAGCCAGCGGATGCCCGCAGAAGCCGCAGAGCCACTTGCGGATCCTCCAACCGGCCGATGGCATCAAGGAGCTTGCGGGTAGCTTCGACACGGGCAGCAGCATGGGCTTGCAGGTACGCAGGGTCACCAATGCCAGCACCAAGAAACTCAAAATTGCGCAGGATGCGGGTCCCCCCGTCAGGTGTGGTGAGCAAGCTGGGTGGCAACTTGGCTGTCAGGGCTGCACCGGGCGTCGCACCAACAGCAATGGCTTCGCTCTTGGTTAAGTTCAGCGAAAGGCCGATAGTGGCCGAAGCTTGCTGGAGTTGCGCCAACGCAGTTGCAACGCTGTCAACGGACCCAGCGAGGACACCATCATCCAAATAGAATGAAGTGAAATCCACAGGACTAGCCCGGAGGCCGGCAGCCAGTGGCTGCACACCAGCAGCAAAAAGCAAGGGGCCCAAAGGATCACCTTGCTGCACGCCAGTGCTGGAGTGCAGAATGACCTTGTCAAATTGCAGATTGCTCGGGCGCTGGTAGCACCATGTGGCCCACCGGGCTAAACTGGGGAAGTGTTCGCGAGCTTCTCGGAGGACAACATCCCGGCTGATGGTGTTGAAGGCGTTCTTGAAATCGATCTTGACGACGACGGAGTCACTGGAAGCGGCGTGTCGCCCAACCCAAGCGCGAAGTGCATGCACCGCAGCTTCGGCTCCTGCCTTGACAGCCACTCCTGCCTGGGCAGGCCAAAAGTAGTTCTGGGCATCAACCTTCACTTCATGCATCAGGCACTTGGCCGTCAGGCGGCGAAGCAATTCGATTGGCCGGACACCGCCAGATGGCTTCGGCAAGGCCACCAGCCCAGCGCCTGCAAGCAAGGGGGCGATCGTGGCACGAGCACGGCCTTGGGCAAGCAAGTTCACCACAGCAGTGAGTTGTTCAAGCACTCCGGTGGCTCCACCATGGCCCAAGGCATCCCGCACGTGTTGCACACGCAGCCCAGTGGGGCCAGGAGCGGTCTCGGCAGGGAAGGTCCGAAGAGCTTTGGCCACCGCATCGGCATCCAGCACGGGGGGCAAAGGCAGCTCCGGCAAGGCTGGGACAGCAGGATCTGGGGAAGCTGGGTGAAGGGCTCGGAGGGCTGCGATTGTGTCAGCCGAGGGTGCACACAGGCCTTGGGACAGCAATGCTGTGCAGGCCTTCTTGTCAAACCCGTGTCGGGCCAGGTTGGTCGCAAACTCTTGCTTTTGCTCATCGGTCAGGTTGCCCTGGTGCCGCTTTGGCTGGGGCCTGCTGGGAACCTTGCTTGGGAGCCTTGCTTGGGAACCTGTTCTTCGGAACCTTTGGGAATCTTTGAGAACTTGTTCCTGGGAACCTGTGGGAATCTTTGGCAACCTGTTCCTGGGAACCTTGCTTGGAAACCTTGCTTGGGAACCTGGCTTGGGAACCTGGCTTGGGAACGCCTTCCTGGGAACCTGGCTTGGGAACGCCTTCCTGGGAACCTGGGAACTTTGGCAATCCGGATTTTGGCTGCTCCGACCTGCTCCGGGACCTTTACTATGGCTGAAGACCCCAAGCTTACGCTGTTGGGGAAAAAGATCTAAGAAAACCACCAACAAACAAAGTAAATCTCTTTTATCAATTTCAGCCCTCCCTTTTTCCAAGCTTCCGTACGCGGCGACATTGGCGTCTTTGGTGTCTTGGGCGTCTTGGACTTCTTGGATGGTGTGCTGTGACAGGAGTTCTGCGGTGACATCTCCCGAACCGACTTGCTGGGGACGATGGGCGGCATGGACAACGCCTCAATCTCCTCCCCGAAGATGGGAATGGCGGGCTCGTCTCCTCCGCTTGGACAGCCAGAAAAAAGGGTGTAACTCAAATTCGTATGTGTGCTTTAACATACAGTATTGTAATGACAGTATGTACCATAATAAATAAATAAATATAAATAAATAAATAAATAATATGAATAAACAAATAAATAACGAAATAAATATAAATACATAATTATATATATATTATTTGTTTAGTCATTTATTTATTTACAGTATATGCGAGGATTACTGTTTGAATATGTTTGAATATTCGAGCGAGTGGAGGTTCTTTGGCTCCCTTTTGCAGCTTTGGACCAAAAGTTTGGTCAAAATTGGTTCAAAATCACGATCCTCAAATGACCTTAGCCCAGACCCGTAGCTTTGCAACATTTCACAGCCACAAATTCATTGTGAAAGTAGAATTCCGATTCAAAAACATTGCAGTAGTTGGATCCTCCTTAAATGACCTAAAAAAATGGGAATTCGAAAAAACCGCATTTCGGTGGTTAAGATTAGCCCTAGCCTCCGGTAATCAGTTACATGGCTAGCTGAGAAATCCCCGGACTACATGGATCTTCAGGAAAAGCCATCTTTGATTACCAGAAGGTAGTCGTGGTTGGTGGTTAAGGTTCGCCCTTCATACTGTAAGCCCAAACATTATGTTCTGGATAAATTGTAATAATTCACTTACCCTGTATATAATATATATATAGATCACTATAATTCACTATATATCCCATGATATTCCCATATATATATATATCATATATATCGCTATAATATACTATGATTCACTATAGATATTCCCACAAAATGATTGGTTTCAGCAAGGCACCGACGAAGCCCCCCATGGCATCACGTTCGCGGTCGCAGCAGCCACGGCAGGGTCCAGCTCCCATGGCGACGGCGATCGGTTGACAGATATGATCTTCTCAGATGCCGATGACTCATGGATCAAGTCTCTAAAGTGAAACATGCTGGGTGAAGAAAGAAGTGCTGATGATCTTTTCTAGGCAAAACTGATGATGATGATTTTCGTTGCACTCAGTTTTTTTTCCGTGAAGATGGTCCTTTTTCGGTTTCGTCCATGTGCTCTTTCTTGTCTCCATGGGCCAAACGGGTTGCCGATTGAGACTCCCCTTCCCCTAGTAGTAACCGCCCCATATTTGGGGACCGCAATACACTGGGGATTCTGGGAAGCTGGTATTGTTTTTGTCATCATTGTTGTTGCTATTTCTCTTGTTCTTATCGCTATTACATTGTGATTGTTACTACTATTACTATCGTCGTGAATATTATTACTAGTATTACTAGTATTACTAGTATTACTAGTATTACTAGTGTTACTAGTGTTACTAGTGTTGCTACTAGTACTATAGTACTAATCCTATTACTTGTATTACCATATATTACCACTATTACTAATTGCCTATTATTCATTATTCTTACATACTCTTACTATCCTTGCGTTATTTGGGGGAGGGATTTCTATGCCCCGGTTGGATATAGCTGTGACTCTGTGCGTGGAAGACGGTCAAGTGGCGAATGACTTTGAGCTTCTCACTTTGCAACGGGCGGCCCAGCCGTCCTTTCAAGTGCCATAGTCAGGGGTGTTGCAAAGTGATTGTCAGGTCCACTTTCGATGTTGATATCCGCCTGCAGACCAGGCTGAGACTTCAGATGACTATGCGGACATCGGGGGATACTCCGATAAGCGGTGGGATTTTTGAATCTCTTACGTTCGGACAAACCCCCAAGGTTTTTGTCCAAAACGCTTGGAGGCCTACCAGGCCTACCACAAAATGGTGCAGTGCAGTGTCCTTACCTGGTTCACTATCTAGACCCCCGGAAACGGCGAAAATCCACAAGGTGATTTCCTTTGATAGCTTTTCACCATCCAGCACTTGGGCAAGGCCAAAACTACTGGATCCCTTGGGGAAGGACCTTCAAGTCAAAAAGTTTCTGGATAATCTCCGCGTTATTCCTGGGCGCAGATCCACTGGACAAAGGGTGTCTTTATCTTTTTTCAAAGGGAATCCACCAAGAAATCTGGGATGCAAATAGAAACCAATAACAAAGCAAACACGATCGGAAGACGAACATACCTATATAGATGATGATAGAAACTAATTGTCCGGTTCATCTTTAGCATGTTAAATGCAGGGATACGGACGAAACGGCCCATACGCATTCATGAAATTTGGGATCACATTCCAGTAGATTTGATGCTTAGAAATAGCCCTGATAGCCTATATACATTTGATAGATATTTCATTGGGACCAAACCATCCACTCGCAGTTGTGATAAAGATTGAAAGTAGAAGAAATGAGTTGGAAGACGTTGAAAGCACCAGAGGTAGCAGGTGAGAATCTGGAGTTGTGAATACCCCATTCTTGGACAAGCTGACAAGCTCAAATGTCGCCAAGCTGCTGCATGACCGCCTCATGTACCGGAGTATTTCCACCAACCGCTGGCCTGGCGGCCAAATCCAAGCGATGTGTTTTCAGAAAGAAAAATGACCTGACCACCCTCCACCTATCCCACCTATCCTCACGACTACCCTTCATGTTCCGATTTCTGAGAGCAACGCATATCCAGATTTGCGCGGCACTGATGCAAGACCTGTCGCACCACACGGCACAAGAACGGTCATAGCCGCAGGAATTGAAGGCTTTAGTTCTACCCAGCAGTCAAATGGATTCCTTCTCAAAATTGAACAGTTGCAGTAAGTGGAAAGCATTTGGAAAAACCAGCTCAAGATCAACCAAAATCAAGTCATGAAAGCACAAACCCAGACAGGATTTGGAGCCATTTCTACACCCAGAACAAGCTGATAGGTGCGAAATCCAGCCTTTCGTAGATATGTTTGGCACAGTAGGTGGTGAAATGTTCCCGGATCTGTTCGTTTCCCAAGGCTGCAACTATGAATCCAGCTCAACATAATCTTAGCCCAAGAACCCACCAATACAACAGAAGATTTAGTGAGTGCGAGTATGTGTGTGTGTGTGCGGGTGTGTGTGTGTGTGCGGGTGTGTGTGTGTGTGCGTGAGCGCGCGCTCAGTACAGATACACACAAATCCAAAGGTATCAAACAGCAAGTTCATGAAAAAATTGTCATAAAATGTCATAAATTACAGAATCAGCAAGAAAAACTAAAACATTCCCGAAAAACCTGCAAGAACCAGGCTCCCCCCGACTCGCGACCGGTTGCCTCCAAGGATGCTGCTTGGTTGCTGATAGCCTGGGGATCCACCACCAAAGATGTGGAGAAGCTACCGTGTGTAGATTATTTTCCCAAGGAACCTGCCCTTTTTTGATATCTGCAATGAAAAATACCTTTTTTAACAACAGCTCTTTGGGACTGTCGTCGCGAGCTAGCAAATTCTGTGGAACAAAGGGATCAAGGAACGGGAAATGGTCTTATGGCTTCTGTGCATAAATTATATACCTATATATGCATATTATATATACATATATATATATTATTATATTATATTATATTATATATACACTACTGTAGGGTATATCATATCAATCTGCACATACTTTAGCAGTCAACAACCATGGATTTCTAATAGAATGGCCCAAAATGGGAATCCAACCAACCAGAATGCACAGGGTGGCGACATAGCCAAGACAAATTGTGAATAGGTAGGTAATTTTAGGATTCCACCCCAATCACGTGGACACATGTGGACACTGTAAAACTCTGATGAGGCTCACCATCTGGCTGCTAGGATGCTTCTAAAAGTCGCCATGTCAGCCCTGAAACAGAGAGTCAGTTTTGTGAAAAGTACCTGGAAAACAACTGTTGTTCGTTAGAAAAGTCCCACCATGTCCAAGGTTTCCAAAGTTTGTTCAAAGGAAATTTGGCAGCTTGCATATGTGGCAAATGAATGGTTTCCTGCCTTTTTTCGTGCAACCCCGATTAGTCCCGATTATTGCCGACGAAAAAACCCTGTTGAATCCCGGCAAATTACTTAAAAATTATCAATTCCTATCAATTCAGAAAAGTCCAACTTGGGATGTTCCTCCCCTTTCCCTCTCCTTTCTCCGCGAAAAAAATGGTGACCTCATGGTAAACGCTTCACCGGGATCCCGCGCTGCCAGGTGCACGGGCGCCACCCCACTGCGCGTCTTCAGATTCCAATCCCCTCGCGCCTGGTAAAAATAGCGGGCTGCTGGGAAATCCCCGCTATATATTACCCTCTGGTAAATTAACATAGACCCTGGCAGATAGGGGTTGGAAGACTAGTTTCCATTAAAAATGGTTGATTTTCAGGGTCTATGTTAATTTACTGGAGGGTATATATGGAGGTTTCTAGCTGGGAAAATCATCCGAAAAAATGGTGGGAATTTTCCGGCCATGTTTGATGACACCGGAGGGTAATCACTTTGAACATTTGAGTTTGATCCCTTTTTCGGATGTTTGCATAAACCATGAAACTTGTACTGATGAATTGATTTGGCAGTGTGTCAAAACCTTGTACCCCTGTAGTTCACATCAAAATAGCTGGGAAATGGATGTTCATCCCACTAAAAATGGTATTAATAGGTATTGACCCATACCCATTTCATCCCATCAAAAACAGAAGGTCTGAATCGGTCAGAATATCCATGGAGGCCACCAACCAGATTGGTCTGACACCACCTCTGGACAGTTGGGAGCTCATGCTTCGTGATCAGTGTCCCATGAAAATGACCATATATTGGTATAGCCTATTTTCAGACACACCCAAAATCATAGTGTTGGCTATACACGTATATAGATATAGATATAGATATACTATATGTAATATACACTATATACATACTATATATATATATACTATATATATATACTATATATATACACTATATATATATACTATATATATATATACTATATACTATATATATATACTACAGTATATATACTATATATACATTGAATCATATCCCATGATATTCACATTATATACCCATTAAACCACCATTAAAGCACCTCTTCCCAAAGTCATGTCGCCTCTAGGAGCAGTTTGATGCACTGAGCCTTTCCGCAGCCCGCAGCATTGTGCAGGGCAGTGTAGCCACCTCCAGTCTTGGTGGTTGACTAGGCATGGATGGATGGTAAGTCATGGTAAGTCCCCATGGATACGGATGGATACAGTTGGTAAGTCCCCAGTGGGATCATGTCCCCCATTGATGAATGAAATCCTCGTAGCTTGGAAAGTGGGCAGAGTTGGCCGTGAAATTGGTGAATTTGTTTGGAACAAGTGACACCCACAGCTGAGGGTCTGACTTCGATTCCTGGCCGAAAGGCAGCAGAAGTCTTCACAGAATTGGCATTACACAGAAAAATGGCCGAGACCGGTCGTGATTTGCTTGCACGAGCATGGACGGTTTCAAATGCTTCAAGAATCGGAAAGAGATGGAGGGACATTTCCAGTTCCTGGAGGCCTCTTAAAATCCTAAAATCTTCCAGCCTGAGGTGCAGATCCGAACCCTGAGACAGCAGGTAGCTCACCACCTGCACAGCTCTCATGGCGATCCAGGTAGACGTTGCTGTCGCGGAGTTGTAATTGGTTTTTCACGAGAAATCACATGGCTCAGAAACCCGCTTAGAATGTCACCCCCAAAATAATCGCCTTTTTCAACCAGGACCGTTTGGATCGGTTTTGACTTGGACCTTTTCCAATTTCTTCACAGATCCTTCACCAACCCGCCCTCCGGCTTCACCTGGGACGCACCTGCGCCGGCGGCCAAGTAGAGCGCGTGAAACCCCGAGGTGTCCTCGTCAGCGATGCCGAAAGGTGTGGTGTTGGACTCACTGACTGACTTTGATGGAAAATGTTAAGGAAACAATGGTTCTTTCCCCCATCGTATTGGGGAGTGGTCTGTGTTTTTTTTCCCTTAAACCAGTTCTAGGATAGAATCTGGAGAAAAGGTTGGAGATTTAATGCGCTGTGACGCATATGAAAGCCAATCCCTGGTTGGCAGCTGCATGTTTTTTCCGAAAGTAAATCATGTCGGCATGACAGATTGTGCGGCCCGCCATGTTTGAGAAGCAGAAGGTGAGGAGACGATGACGACGATGATGACAATAATGACGATGATGATGATGATGATGATGATGATGATCATGATGATCATGATGATCATGATGATCATGATGATTACTTGTCAGAGATACAAGACAACAAGAGGAAAGGCACCCGCAACTGCTTATAACTGCTTACTACTATTGCAACGCAGGGTCCTGGTAATTCACATCCGCTTTCGCCTCCACCAGCACCTGAACTGCCTAGCCAGGCTGGGCCAACTGGTCCCAGATGTCCACATGTTCGTAACGTTTCGTACATGTTTTTTCCATGGGACTTCAACATCACTTCCAGGCCTTCCAGGTGCTTCAATGGTTCCCCAAGAAGGTGATCTTGACCCAGTTGAGGTTTCCATGATTGCCATGGGTGGAAGGGTGAAAAGAGGTCAGGCTATTCCCTTGATTAAAATGACGCGAGAATATGGATATTGTATGGATATTATATGGATACTAATCATATGTCTAAAAATAATATATGGATTTACAGGGTTTAATGAGGATCACCGGATCCTCAGCCACCCCACCTCGAAACGTCCTGCTTCCGCTGCCGCGAGGAGGGGTGTTCGTTGCAAGGTGACAAGGGAGAAATAGGCGTCCTGACGTCGAAGTTGCGAAGTTCAGACCCTAGGTTGAATTCATTGCTCTCCAGTAGCTATCGGAAATCCACTACAAATGGAGGGTTGCATGGGAAAATCATCTATAAATCGTGGAATCCTCTTGTTGGTGGTAGAAAAACTCTGGATTTTTTTCACAGAGTCGACACTTGGAGGATTGTCCACAGTTAGTGAACCCTTGTCACCTTGGGATACGTCGTACGTCCGGATACGTCCTAATCATGACAAAAACCCATTGCGGACGTACCCAGGACAAGTAAAACAATAACGGAACCGCGATAGTGCTGGGTAAAAGTTCACGACTATGACAAATTGCCGTTTTTGATTGCCGGAGGGTATCATTTTGATACCCATGTAATCATCTTTTTTTGGGGGTGACCAGCCTGATTACACCATCAGCCAGTGACGGAAAATGCATGAGAATCCACAATTTCCAAGGGAAAAACTAACTCATCTTTAATATAGAATGATATACATATCATAAATGCGAGATTTTCCATTGCAAGGTCGGGTTACAGTATGAAGACCAAGCCTGACCCAGTGCCCTGCAGCTATCCTCGTCCAGCATCCCCCGAGGGAAACGTAACTCCTGGGGGCTAAAGGTGCTAAAGGTAGCTCGCCCCATCTCAAAGGCAAGGGCATTCCAGACAAACATCCAAACACAATTTGTATCCACCAAATGGAAAAAATACCATATAGGTCTATAATGGTCTATATAGGTCCAATCATTCACTACAGTCTTATTCCCATTATATATTCCCGGTTTCTTGAGAAAAGAATGATTTGTTGGGTACAACCCTAAATGTCAATCATAGTGGTTCCATTGGTTGCTACTTCTCATCCTTGAGACCCTGCAGTCCTTTTGGACTGCATCCACATCCACCTCCTTTACGAGCACAGAGATTTCCTTCACGTCGTTGGCTTCCGCAGCCTATCAAGCCGCTGGGCATCCATTCAAAAAAATTACCTATGGCTTCGATATCTACATATATATATATATATATATATATATACTATATACTATTATATACACATATGCACCAGGCCCTGCCACACCCCCCCTCCCCCCATGGGATGGGTCCCATATACTGCCCCCATATGACATCTTCCCCCTCCCCCCCGTGGTCGGGACTGTCCCCCTCCTCCCCCTGTGGTGTGGTGGGGGTTTGGTATGGCATGTTTGGAAAGTATGGTATGTTTGGTGTGTATGGTAGGTATGGTATGTATGGCATGAATGGTTGGTATTGTATGGATGGTAGGTATGGTATGTAAGTCTGTTGGGTATGGTATGTTTGATATGACAGTATGTATGGTTTGTATGGTTTGTATGGTATGTATGGTTACTATGATGGGTATGGAATGTTTCCTGTGTAAGGTAGGTATGGTATGTATGGCATGTATGTTTGGTATTGTATGTATGGTAAGTGTGGTAATTATGTTTCATATGTATGGTATGTGTGGTATGTATGATAGGTATGATAGGTATGATAGGTATGGTAGGTATGGTATGTATGGCATCATTGGAATGTATGGTAAGTACAATATATATTGAACACATGTAGGGTTGTGAGAGTACACTGGTAGTAAATAGGAAGTAGATACATAGCACATGTATATATGACTATAGGTAGCACGTAGGTACTTTGAGGGAGTATGTGTGCTACGTAGATCGTCTAAAAGGTAGCATGTACCTAGTAAATGCGAGGCTGGTAGTCAGAAATGCTGCAAAGACCTAGCAAATACGAAGCTGGACCTCAGAAATGCTGCCAATAGCTTGCAAATAGAAGGGAAGGGGGTGCTACCTGGGGACCCAACCCATTGGGGGGGGAGCGGGGGGGTGGAGAGACGGAGGACGGGACCATGTATATATATATATTATATATATATACATACGTATATATATAGCCTCCCTAAAAAACCTTGTGATAGCCATCGATTTTGACCCAGGAGCCTTAAACAACTCGAGCTGTTGCTGCATGGCCCGACCATCCATCAGCGCGAAACGTTTGTTGATGAGCTCAAGGACCTGACACGAAGACAGCCCTGGACGCGGTGCCGAAATCCACCAGTTGGGAGGTCCTATTGGGCCTATGAAATGCCCAACAAAAATCATGGGATGCAGATCACAATGGGATAAACTTACCACATCCGTAATCGGTTTGTCTTGCAAAATCCTGCACCAAAAGGATGGTTGAAATCCTATGAAGAATGGGAAGCCACTAAGCACATCCCTCAACTGGTGGATTTGCCATCCAAATAAATCCAGAAATGCAGGTCTTCCTGCAGAAATCCCCTTGAAACGAAACACCTTGGAGCATGGTTAGTTGATGTCTATAGGTATGGGGTATGGAATCAAGGGTGTTTTTTGAAAAATCACGTCTGTGATCTGATTCACCCAGATCAAAATGAATCTCAGAATCGGAACTGGCCAATCTTAATAGTGGAATAGGGCATAGGGCCACATATTATAGTGGGTTGCCATCTTCATATGGCACTGGCCGCATCGATGATGCCAAACTTTCCATCTCACTTCGCCATTAATATGTCACCATTTTGTACTGGAAAATGTTCGTCAACATCATCTCATCATATAATATCATATTAGGGTAATGAGGGTAATGAATATTGATGAGATGGTGAAGGGTGATGGATATTCTGATAAGGTTGATGTTGATAACCTGTACTGATATCATATTATAGATAAGGGACTTTCCATTGACAGGTTTGGTTCGTAGAGGGTAATGAGGGTAATGAAGGGTAATGGATATTCTGCCACTGTCTGTATTGAGTATAATATGGTATATGTAACATGCTAGCAGGGTATTGCTGATGAGATCGATTAATATTGTTCATTTCATCAACCCTTTTTCGTATCCTACACACCAGTGTCCCCCGCTTAAATGTCGCCAAACTTCAGGCCTAGATTCTCGCGAAGGGCTCAAAGTGACTGCTTCCCCAACGTGGAACCAGGTGGATTTGTCTGAAAATTGGGTACCCCATTCCATCCACGCGTTTTTTTCATCATTTTCCCCGTCGGAATTCTGTTCTTGGGAGGTTCATCCCACCAAACATCATATATCAAGATATTGAGTTTTTCATTCATATCCCGCGACAGCCAAACCTTCATAAAAATATCCGATCTTTGATCCCTATTTCCCACTAGAGTCACTAGAAATCTCCATTCATATCCCATCAAATCCCAGTTGTTTCTCCAGTCAAATCATCGTCCCCAACGATCCAACCAGCCATGGCAACCCATAGCAACCCCATCCATCCCGTCCCCACCGTGAGATGATAGATCTCCCGAAATTTGTTCCTCGGCGATGGAACATGGCCCACTAAAAAAGATGACTTACCTTTGTTGGAGGTGTTTCCAGAGCCATGTTAAATTAATCTAAATTGGACAGTATATATATATATATGGGCATGGCTCAAAAAACGGGTATGGATCGTTCCGCGGGTGATCCGGACGTATGGATCGGTCTGGATCACCTGCGTTTTGGTATGGATCATGGGGTATGGATCGCATGTGGTACCGGGGTATGGATCGGAACCTTACATTTTGAGCCGCAGCCATATATAGAATTATATATAGAGATTGAGGGTAGTTGAGGGCACGTTGACACGCCCCTGAACACTGTTCAAATGGCCACAGGTAAGCCCATCTTCGGTCTTACGACATAATGTGAATATGGATCAAACATGATGAGGTTTCTGGTCACATCAAAATCAATCATTTTCAGACCTGAAACCACCCCAAATTGCGTGTCGCAGGATTTGTTCATCAGTGATGCGGTTGGGGGATCAACGCCCTTGAGGCCCCCCAGGGCCGCTGACTCCAAATTTTGACAAAAAATCACCTCGAAGTCCGTCATGTGATAAAACCTGGCGGGGTTTTTAAAATCCGACACATCACTGGTTCAATTTGACGAGAATTTCATCAGGCGATGGTGAAAAAAACACGCAAAAGGAATTGGAAAGAACAGCAACAAAGTCCGTCAAAACAAAATGATCCAGCAGAATCGGATTGATTGGAAACTAAAAAACACATTTGGCAATTCAAGACCTGTTTTTTCCTTGGCCCAACGACCCACAAACACCACCCAGAACCAAAAGCCCCCTCGGCGCACACAGCGGTCACCAAAGTGGCAGCCAGTTCTTCGTCTAAAGCGACCTGGTGATCACAGAAAATTACAGGAAACCATGATATCCATGATTACTACCCACGAATGCAAGTGGTTTTCCCTTCAACAGATTCTGGAAAAAACCTACTTTGAATGATTCACTTTGTTTCTGTTGGCGTTTATCCTCCCATCCACTGTGATGAACGACCCAACGACCCCTGGAGCACCGGGACCGGATGGGACCGGTGCGCCTTGTAGTCGAAGCGAAACTCACAAAACTGCCACAGGTGCCCAGCCATAGAAGGTGTGTGCACCTGCGAATTCGGACATTCACTGGGGAAGTGGTGGTGTTTTTGCCACATGGTGGTGATTTAAGCCTTAGGAATCAATGGTGGTCTAATTGAGTGGGATATGAAATGATATAAATGATTATAAATGGATATTTACTGGGATATTTTTCTAAGATACCCTTTGGGAATTCCACGATTGCTATGGACAACAACCAGTCTTTTTGTGGCTAAATCATCGAACTCCATGGGCCAGTCTTAGAAAGCTGCCGTGCTTCGGCTTGGTTTTGGACAGGTGGAGCCTATCCGAAAAAATCCCATGACACGTGGCACCTCCAAGATCTTGATCTGATCCAACATTTGGATGTTCTTGGGGTTGACGCTCATCCTCCTTGCCGAAGCCAAGCAGAGTACAGCTGAAGTCTGGAGGGGCTGCGGGATTGATAATCTGGGCATAGATGGATAGTAAAGTATTGTAAAATCAGATTTTGATCGTGAAGTGGTACCACAAATCCGAAGAAAGTACCCCCCCACACAGTCCCTTCGAATCGCCATCAGCATTTGGGTCACGGACCCAAATGGGGTACGCCGGGTACGCTCAGTTCCCCGGCCATGGTTGAAGCATGAAGCAGCCCAACTGGTGCCGAATTGAAACCCAACCAACTAGAAGTAACTGTTGAAGTAACTAGAATCGAAAGACTTTCAGAACATCAACTTTGATGGACAACTAATTCCAAGGCCCATGAAAAATATCAAAACATCTGGTAGCGCCCATGGTGCTATCAACCCCATCGCTGGTCACTGTCCCGATCTTCTTGAAACTCTGCGCCAGGGCCTCCCCAGGATCCAAATTTCTCCGTAAAACAATCGGGAACCCAGTGATATCTGTGGGCCATATAGATATTATGAAACTTCAAAGGTGATTCAGTACTATTTAGTTCTGTTTTTTGATGGAACCTTCCTTTTCAATATTTTGTTTATATACATCTATAGTCTATATGCCCATATATCGTGGACGGTTTATTATTGTGGATACCAGATTAACGCTAAATACAACATATTTTGTTGCGTATCTTGGTCAAGATCTAGACGGGGAAACGTATATCAACCCCTAGAAAAGACGCAAAATCGCAAAATCCTACTCAAACAATGGCAACTGGTTTCTCTATTTTTTGGGGGGATAACATGGGATAAGTGCTATACGTCTATACGTCAAACATCTTCAAGCATCAAATTAACTCATTTTTCTTTCTAAATCAAAGCATTGCAGGTCATTTCTTGAAAAGGGCCGGAATACACCGGGATGTTCCAGACTTGGAGCGAATCACCAAGGCGCCCAACATCGATCATGAACAACTCATAGAACAAGAAAATGTGGCAAATCTTCCATGCCAAAACCCGACCAAACAGATTCGCGTGCCTTCATCCATAGCTTTTTCCCAGAGATTCCAAGGATTCTCCTGGACCCGAGCCTCAACGATGCTCCATTTCATGTACTCGCCGTGAACTACGGAATCGATGGGAAAGCGGTCCCCAGGCATGCGAATCCTGGGAGGATTACCCGCCGGGGGTCAAACCATCTTGCTGGGATGACTGGAGCATGGCTACCGCCCCCGCATGTGATGCACATCAGTGGCACATGACTCACATGACCAGTTGACACTCCGCAGTTGTCTTGAGTACACTTGAAGAGGAAAAATGTGTCCAAAAAAGACAGAAATGCATTCAAACGGCTGGGAGAAAATGGAGGATGGATTTTGTGATTTGCAGTGGCTGGAAAGGCAAGATATCTTTCATGATTTCTGGAACAGTGGCACCGTGCCTTTAGCTTCCCAACTGATCCCCCAAGCTAATCTAAGCCTCACCATAACACTAAACCGTCCACCGACTGAAAGGGTCTCTGATAGTCTCCAATCTCAGGTTGGTTTAGGACTTGACATCCTAATTTTGTGGCTTGCCCACTGATTTCATCCATACAGTTTATTTATGTATTTATTTCTATATATATATATATATTTATTTATCTATTTATTTATTTATATCCATGTTTATGTATACACAACAATCTCCCCATTTCGACCAGCTTGATCCAATGCCACCGAGCGTCTTGATGGTCAACACCCCAAGCGGTAGTCCATCTGGTGGCCCGCTGCCACATGGCACCCGGTAGGGTGGCTTCAGTGATCCAGGATCCTGCATGAAATGATTGCATTTAGCCTGGGATTCCAATGGATTCCATGGATATTCCGGGACCTATGACTATGTCAGGTTTGTCATGGGTTTTTCCCCCTTTTTGGGGGGTTTTACGATGTTTTACGGCTACCTGGCTTCCAAAAAGGGTAAGTCATGAGTCAACACCCTGGCAATCCGAGTAGACCAACAAGTTTGGCAACGAGATGTCGCTTGCAGCGAAGCAATCTAGGTCAACACTTGACTTGAAAAACAATGCTGGGTCAAACCCTGGTTACCTGGTCATATCAAAACCAAGTCTTGCAGAAAAAATACCACGAACATTGAAGTTTCGTAACCCCAAAAAAGAAAAAATTGTAAATTACAACTATTTGAGCAATCTCGCAAACTCCGGGTTCACAAAAAACACATCCACAAATTTGGAAAGGTCCCATCGTTTACCGCACGTTTGCACAAAAATCAAGTATGGCAAACTTCGGGTGCATCGCTTAAAGGATACTTACGTACGTGCACAGTTATGACACAATCTTCCAAGGAGGTATTGCTATTTGGAAAGGTCCCATCAGTTACCTCGTGTTTTTACAATTTCCAGAAGCCGATGTCCGTCCCTTAGATGTTTAGTATTGCCGGAGTTTTTGGGGTGGCCCATTTAAGAATTGGTGTGTACCAACGTCATCCAACGTCTATCTTTTGTTGGGATATTTGATCCTACAAAATGCGGTTTTTGCTCTGGAGTGCTTTCTCAGTCTCCTTGTTGACCAGGTCCCCCCGGAGTTCTCGGAAGAGATCGGCATAGTCCTGGCCAACCAGTTTCAACCATCGGCATTCAGGACCCTATCGTGGCGCATCAGGTGCCACAGGGTGTGGATCAAGGGTCTTGGTTGCAAAAAAAAACTGTACGTTCATCAAAACATGTCATTTGTTCACTTTCTTTTCGAAACATACTTGTTTCCTCAAGCAGTGTCCACCCTGAGGGGTTCTTATGGCAAGTGTAAAAAACCGGGGTTCCATCTGGGCCCCGGTCTTTTCACTGTAAATTCTCGTGCAAAAGTTCCCTTCTGAGATGTCCATGTGCATTTCAACTGCGCAGGCCCGCACCAAATGCGGGTCATGGTTTTGGCTCTTCCGGAGGTGCAGTTTTACCAGCGCGCCGCGCTCGTTTTTTGAATTATGTCCATTTTGTGTGGCTAGCGCAGGACGTAGGACACTTTTGGTTCTGTGTGGCAGGCGCAGCACTTTCTGCACTTTCCTAAAACATTGGCAGGCCTGTGCTTTTGGAAGCCATTTTTTGTGGCATGTTCAATATTTAGACGGTTTCAAAGGGTCGAAAGTCTCGTTTTGTGAAACTGTCTTCATTTTTGAATTGGGACATGGTGATGATTCCGTGTGACAGGCGCAGTACTTTGGACGCTTCACGCTCATGTTTCGCGGCGGGCACGCTACTTTGTAGGCCTCGACCAAAAAGAGCCCGAAACCTAGGTAAAACATGTTTGTGGTGCGCACAATGTTTTGCGAAAATCTAACATGCCCTCGCGCAACCCTCTCGTGACTTTGGGCGTGTCGGATCGCTCTCATCGTGGCGCGATGTGAATTTTGATATCGCTCGCGCAATCTTCTCGTCACTTTGTGCGCGTCAGATCGCTCTCGTTGTGGCGAGGTGCGAATTTTGATATCGCTCGAGCAACCTTCTCGTCACTTTGTGTGCATCGGATCGCTCTCGTTGTGGCGTGGTGCGAATTTTGATATCACTGGAGCAACCTTCTCTTCACTTTGTGCGTGTCAGATCGCTCTCGTTGTGGTGCGGCGCGACTATGAACATCGCACACGAAACCCTCTCGGCACTCTGTGTGGGTCAGATCGCTCTCGTTGTGGCGTGGTGCTGATTTTAGCTGTCTCTCTCTCTCTGAGATCCAGGTAAAAAAAGAATCTTATTATATAGTTCTCTGGAAGGTCCTTCTGTGACGATCTGGCAAGAGTTTCATGGTGCAGTCTTGGAGGTCCGTAAATGAAGATCTTGACCAAGGTCTTGCAGAGGTCCTGTGAGCAGATGCTGTGAAGATCTTAATGAAATCCTGTCAGAGGTCCTTACATGATCTTGTACAGGTCCTTGTGAGAAGATCCTGTGGAGATCCGGTCGCAACCCTCTTCGAGAGGTCCTTGCATGAAGATCTTGAAGATGCTCTGAATTGGTGCTTGTATGACAGTTCTTCTCGGATGCTCATGGGAAGTTCTTGTCAGGATGATCTTGTACGCTCCTCTTGAAAGTCCTTCTTTGATGATCTTGTGAAATTCTCTTCAATGTCCTGGTATGAGGTTCTGGTATGAGGTCCTGATGACTAGCGTTGCTTCTTGTGCCAAAACAAGTTCCGGCTGCAGTTACAATAATGCTTAACCTGATCTGTTACTGTTCCATAGCTACTCTTGCTTGTATCTGGTACATTGATTTCCTACCCCCACATAGTTTGGGGTCTCTTGCCGATGTATCCACGCGGAGGCCAGCTTGTTGAATGAGGTCGCTGACCAAAAAAAGGATTCCGATCATCCACCTGGCACCACAGGAAACGCGCCTTGGAAACAAAGCCAAGGCCGTCTCCTTTCCCCATGGCACTAATATTGTGTCTTTGACTGAAGCATCCACTTCCAGGGTTGGGTTGAGGGTGTGTCGTTGGGAGCTCTAGTCATTAGGCCTCACCCAAAAGGAAAATGTGTTGGCAATCTGCCTCTGAGCGACGGAATTTTTCGGGATGGTTGAAAAAACCCAACTCTGAAACACCTCTGGGCAGGTGCCAAGTGTAAGTTTGATGGCTCATTGGTCAAAGCCAATTGCAGTATTCTTGGAAAAAGTTGAGAGGTTAGATCATGATCATGACTTCGTGGGTGGCTGGGCGCAGAAATTTGATCCAGCTAAGTGTCATGTTTCAGGCTGAGTGCTTTGAGCCCTGAAGAGCAGCATGGGTGCAACGGACATAGGTGCAACATCCGTGTTCCCAGGAGCTCCTGGTGTTTTAGGGAGTCGAATTTCAGAACCCAAAAATCAATGTGGATTGGTTGAAGATGTTGAAGGGAAAACCCACAGGAAGTCATTGTTTTTGCTATCATTAGGGGCTTCCTTTCAAACCAATTCTTGGAAAAAGTGATCATCCCACTGAAAAGGCACCAAAGCCATCCCTGAACTCCTGTGATTCGCGCGTCTTTTCACCAAAAAATCCCACGGGTGCCGAAATGGTCACCTCCCTGATTTTTCGAAGTGAAACAGGCCATCCGCCATCCCATCTGCCAGCATCATACCTGCATCCATCAATGATGGGTTTCTGGAAAAAAAGAAAAACCTCTAGTTAAAACCTAAGATACCTGAGTCCTCAAGCCGAAAAAAACCCAAAAATGTTGTCCAGTTGAAGAAATACTGTGTCTGTTTCCGAACCATGTGTCATTCTAAAATCGAAAAATAGACATGAAACCCAAATCATTTTGAGTTGGTTCAAAATGCTGGATTCCTGGATGTATATATACGCGTGTATATGTATATATATATATATTTATTTATTTATTCATTCATTTATTTATTTATTTATTTATTGTTTCAACAAGAAAAGTTTCATAAATCAAATACACACTTACAGAGGTGCTAATAAATGCTCGCAAACGATCAAATTCCTTCAATTTCACCCCATCAATTTTTCCAGTTAAAAAAAGATCAAGAGTTCTAACCTGAAAAAAGAACTTTCCCCAACAAGAATGTCAGAATCTCCACTTCACCATGTCACCACATCTCCCAAAAAAGGGCCATGGCCATCCTGGCCATCGCGCCTCATTGCGCCAGGGGTGGATAGATGAAGCCAGCGCCCAAGAAGGGCTCCGTAGTGGCCTCCGGCCCCACCGGGCTGAAGAGCTCCTTGCAGGCCGCGGCACCGAAGCAGGGCAGCACCGCAGCTTCACCGAAGTCACCGAAGAGGACGTCCTGATGGGTGAAGATGCCATAGAAAAAGATATAGAGAAAATAGGTGGACCATCTTTTTTAGATGAAAAAATTGGATAAAAATTGATGAATGGTGATTTTTAAGGAGAAATGGGATGTGGATCCATCAAAAAGAGGTAGTCTATGATCTGAGGTAGACGGAGAAATCCTCCATTATTTGATGCTTTTAACCCATTTTTTTCGTTAGAAGTCGATCATTGCAGGCCTGTGCAATGAGGCCGGTGATGCCCATCATGGCCAGGCGTCCATTGTTCAGTTCCTTACGCGAAAACCGAGGGCAGAGGGCATGAAAAATGGAGAATTGAACCTGCTAAAGTGAGGATATCATGGGTTTAGAATAGGGATATAAGATATGTGTGTTCATCCAAAAATAATGGGATGACGATGCGCATGCAATTTTTCGAGGGGTACTCTCTGGCAATTTAACAGTTGGATATGGAAAACTATCGTTAAAATAATTAGTGAATCATCGAACTAAATGGGCAATGGTCCAGAGCAAACTGTTAAATTGAAAGGGATAGTCTGGAGAAAAGAAAAAAAGATGAAAAAAGAATCAAGCGCCAAAAAAATGATTCCAAATTCCAAGATACTAAGAATTCCCAAAAACTGTCTTTCAGAGCAGAAAAGCGAACGGAGAACTGGAACTGCACTGTCTATCGTTAAAGAATTGGGGGGTTCAAATTAAAACATATATGCGTAGAGGTGCTGAACAGTAAATATTACAAGGTGGCACCCAGTAATCAATTGATTTATAGATCCCATTAAGTATAGATAACCTATACTTAGTATAGATATACCTACCATAAGCCATACTTAGCCATACTTAACCTAGTTATAAACGAGCTTAGTTAAGTATGGGGCACCACCTTGTTGCATGGTGCCCCTGGTCCAACTTCCTGCCGTCTCCGGCGCCTGATTCTCGGCTTTTCTGAACTGATTCCAGATGCTCTTCTCATCCTGCAATGAAGCGCAAACTACACAAGATTTCACAAAGTTTAGAAGCCTTCTGCAACATTGTACATGTGCATATATATATACATATGTATATATATATAATCATATGGATATACAGACATGATATTGAAAAGCAAAACTGAAGTACATACCCAGACCCACCACCTATTTTTTCACCCATCCACTTTGGCCTGTCTTATCATCCACTGCATCCTCCACGGTTTCCCGGCCTCGATCAGAATGTCGCTCCAGCCCAGGATGTCCCAAGGCTTCTCCGCAGGCGGCTTGCAGACGTAGGTGGTGACCCATTCGAGGCACATGATGGTAAAGACCACCTGCCAAATACCTGGCGATGGCTCGCCCCGGTGAAATACCAGAAATGGCTAGGTGGATCGATGGAGACCTATGAATGGATAGGGGGGGTTGCTGGAGCAACGTTGGGTTGGTGATGATGTTTTTTCAACCATGGACATGGGAATTTACCATCAAATATGGGGTTAAACGTGGATATATAAACAACTATGGGGACTTGACCAAACCAATTGACGTGGCTGTGGATTTAAGAAAAATTCTTAACCTGGTACAGGGGCATGTTGTGGCAAACTGCTTGGCAGGCAAACCTGCCCCTGAGCATCGGACAATGTACGTTGGAACGGTTGCAGCACCAAAACAGGCGGGATACCCCCGAAATGCTCATTTATGGGGGAAAATGATGCTCAATCATGAGACTTGGGGCTACCTTATTCTCAGACGAGCCCATAGTGCTGTCAAAGCATGGCTTATGGTTTATGGTCCGTCCCAGACCGGGAATCCTTGTAGTAGGTACAATTTATTCCAATTTATGGATTTATAACCATCCCGCAGCACAGGATTGTATACTTCAAGAAATCAAAGAGCTTGGAAAGCTCGGCGACCAGATTCCCATCCCCACCTCCCATGGGCATCTGCGTCAGATTCACCAGAGGGTTGTTGTCCAAGTGCTCTCCCACCGCGTAGTCGCCAATGATGTGATACCTCGCATCGTTTTCAACTCAGTTTATCCAGTTTCCTTAAAATCACGGTGCATCAAAAATCGCCCATCCTATACTCAACATCATGCTACCACAAGTTCATAATTCACCCAATTCCATCACCCCTTCAGCCCTTCACCCCTTCATCTCTCAAGATACCCGGCGGCCACGTGGAACCAGCCAAGCACTGCCAACATGGCGACACGGCCATGCTTCAGCTCCATAGCGCGAAGGTTTAAGATCTCCTGGAAAACCCCAAGATTTTTCTTCCCTCTGTTTAAACACCCAGAAACCATAGTAGAAACCATGGTAGAAACCATGGTAGAGAGGGGAATTTGTAGATTTGGGATAGAATGGGGCTGTTGAAGATCAACAGGATGGGATTAGATGATTAGCTGGGAAATCTGTGCGGAAAAACCATGGTTTTTTTACTAAGTCTTTATCTGTGGGATACATATGGATACATCAAGTGATACCCCAAAATAGCCATTAGTCGTGCAAGGTGGCCTTGCAAATGGCCCTTTTTTTGGCCATCAAATGCTAGGAAAATGAATGTCATGGCCCTATTTTCGAACTCATGGAGATGCTTGGGGAAATTGGGGATGGAATGTGGGGAATGCTTTTTAAGGGAATTCTTGGGAAAATGGTGGGTGAATGGCTGGGAAAGGTGGCTTGATGGTTTGAGACATTCGAGCCAGAGTAAAGAAGAGCTTGATGCAATAAAGCCAAGGCCATACACCACATAAACCAAGATAGTAGCCAGAGGCATTGGCGCCATTTGGGACGAATAAGGACTGTAGCCACCGACCCGGGGAAGTGACCAAGAGGAGGGGTGTGATCAGCTTTATTAAGGCTGCTTGCTCCAGAAAAAAGAATGGGAATACATCCAATTATGCCGCCAAAACTAAACTGATTGCTACTTGCCTGTGAGGATATATGAACCAGACAAGGAGTACATAGTTACCAGTAGCAGCAGTGAAAGGAGAACACTATCTGCACATATCTCTGGTGGGAGAAATCCCAATACTTTTTGAATCAGGGTAGGCTGTTCTTACTAATCAACCACAGCCACAACGGGACATGTTTGGATGACACATCTAGACTGGACACTCTAAGAGGAATCCAGTGCCAAATCTCAAAAAAGGATTACCCAACCTGGTTATGACTAACATAGCCATGGTATAGATGGCCCATAGAAATAGATGGTTTACCTATAAAAAATGGTGATTTTCCATGGCTATGTTAAATAACCAGAGGGTATTGGAAACAGACAATTTGCCTTTAGATGACTCTATTGAGTGGTCGCGCATGCTGGTATACCTGTCCTGCAAGCACGTGCCGTTCAAAGACTATTCACTATTAGCTACCTCGCTAAAAATTGAGATCTTGCCCAACGGATGTATAAATGGTCCTTACGACAGGTTCATTAAGCACCGTTTTCCAGTAGTAGTTGAAAGACCAAATATTTATCCAACTGATTTCCGATGTTTCACTAACCTGAAACCCTCAAAATTGGGTGCTTCATACTTCAAAAACGGCCAAAAATTATGGTGTGGATTTCTTGTTGTAGCAAGAAGTGTCCATCTTGTTTGCCCCATCTAATCCATCATCTAACCCGAAATCCCCTATGAAACCCATCTAAATATCATCTAACTAATCGTGTGGCCTTCCCTCCCCATCTCCTCCTTGCTCTTCCCGTTGGTGATGCCCGCAGGATCCCAGAAATCCTCCGGGAAGGGACCGCCGGTGCCTGCAATGGCCTCCTGGGCCGGCGTCAGGGCGCGCAAGGGCGAGTCGGTGTAGAGGGACCAGTCGCCCCAGGCTTCACCTGGAGCAGGGCCCAGCAGGGCCCCAAAAATCCCCTTAAACCTCTGAAGATTTGGGGATTTATCCCTCCTTTATACCATCATTGAATCATCCTGCCTGTGAGGCCGTTTTGGAAGAACATCCCGATGATGGCCATCATGGCCAGCCGTCCATTAGCGATCTCGGCCGCCAACTTCTTTTCCTTGGTGGCGGCTGGGGCCTTCACGAAGCCGTTGGGAATGCCTAGGAAGCCCGCATTTTCGAAGTCACCAGGAGCCCTCTTGGGATCATCCACCTAAGTCACCATGGCTTGTGAGGCTGCTGGTCAGTGGTAAAAAAAATGGTCATGACCATGGTTGATGACCTCCATAAGTTGAGATATAACCCATATAACTATGGGTGATGTATCCGCTTACAATTGAAAATTGCACCCCCGAGTACTTACTTTTCTTTTTGATGGGGGTTTGCCAACATGGTGAAGTATGGCCGTGTGCAAAAGCATTTCCTGTCTTGGGTGCAGAGCTAAAAAAAGTGTTTGCTGGTTAGGAAAAAAAACTAGATATGTCTTGTTAGGAATCATATCCCATAATATCCCCAGTTCTGTCAGGTAATGCCCTTAATTTTCAAGACAATAAACATTCTTGATATTTCTTGAGAATATATTCCAGTATATCCCATTGGCCATCTTTGGTTAAATCATAGTTACTATAGTTTATTCAATCTATAAGTGGGGATGGGTCAAAACCCTGGTACCTAGTGAACCCCAAAATAGCTGGTAAATGGATGTTCATCCCACTAAAAATGTATCTATAGGTATTGACTTATACCCAAGTACTATAGTTTGACTTCCCCATTTTCGCTACGGACTTCTCCAGCGGTGTCCGAGGACCGAGGCACATATTGAAACAGCTCCACCGTGCCGGCGAAGGCCACCATCTGTGCCCAGCCGCTCAGAGGGACCTTGCTGAAGGCGGCGAAGCCTGGCCGTTTTTCAGCGCGAAAACAGAGGCAAAACCATGGAAAAAATGGGGATTTCCATGGATTCCAGGAGATTTTTTATGGGATCGCAGTGCAGCGGGAAAGCGTGACTTCAGGTTGAGGTTGCGCTGTGCGCGCCGGGTGCGCCGGGTGCGCCTGGTGCGCCGGGTGCGCTGGGTGCGTGGGGTGCGCCGGGTGCGCCGCGTGCGCTGGGTGCGTCGGGTGCGTAGGGTGCAATGTGGGATCTCGCTGGATGTTGAATGATTGTTTTTGGTGGGATTTCATTCCCTAAATGTTTTTCATGGTAAGAATCATGTTTTCATGGAATATGACTGTTTTTATCCCATCAAAAAGATGGGGATTCTTTAGTTCAAGATGTTTTTATCTTGGCATCCAATGGGCGCGCCAGCGGCTTTCTCGGAAATGGATGGAATCCCCGGACGAGATGTGACCCGGCAATCCATGTTTGATGACCAGGGAGTATACCCTCTTCAGAGTATGGTTGGTGTAGCTAAGATTGATAAACTAAGCAGCTGATACCACCTGATCAAGCTGTGGTTATTGGTTAATCTTATGGATAGTGAAAATGGTTTGTGGTTGATGGTGAATAGTTCATCTAACCATAGTCTTACTAATAGTGGGAAATAGTTGGTCACTAGTTGGCACATGCTTGGTAGATGGCCACGTGTTTTTTTTAATGCATTTTAGGGTGCGCACGTCAGTTAGAAGTTGTGCACGTCAGTTGGAAACTGTGCACGAACAACCATGTGATTTTTGGGGGAACCGGGTGGGGATCTGGATAGGGGGGTTTTGGGGGGGCGTAAGAAACTTTTTGTCGGCTGTAATTTCTCTCAGATGCTATTGATTAACTTATTCTTAGATTTCTTAGCACTTTCCACACACTCTTGGTGCTAAGTTCTAAACTTTTTCATGGAAGTTCCAACACACTCTTGTTGCTACGTTCTCAACGTTCTTAAAGAACTTCCAAAAACCTCTTGGTACTACGCTCTAAACTTTCTCTTAGCACTTCCCGCATGCTCTTGATGCTACTCTCTTTTCTTTCCTATAAATTTCAGTAGTTTTTTCCGGGGTTTGATTGGGAGATGGTGCAAATTTGATGGCGGGCATGGCACTATTTGCATAAAGCAACACGACCGTCTGTCAAGCGTGGAGCTAGTTCATCTAACCATAGTGGGGTCATTTGTTACTGTTTCAAACAAAAGAAAACCTGCAATAGAATATGACTAGTTTACCGATTTTTCTTCACTTATTAGTTTCATCATGGGATACCCTCTTGTAATTTCACCTGGTTTGCTGGAAGTCGCCTATGCATTTACAGTAGATGATTCTGATTATCCTATATTTACCCACAAACTGGTGTTAACCAATCACAATGGCCATTAAAACGGAATCAAATCAACTCGGGAAAGTCATCGTGGTTAGTTAAACCATGGGTTCGCTGGTCAGTGAATACATGAGTATTTCACCAACAATTAGGGAAATCCATCACTGGATAATCGGGTTTTCTTCGGAAAATGCATGGCTGGTTGGCTTATTTACCCACGAAAAAAATAGACGGGTTTGGCTGTAATTTGTCCCTTCAAAATATAGATAAGGGAGGTTGACTAGCAGTTACTGACATATATATATATAATTATATATATAGGGGGTTCCTGAAATTGGGGACCGGCGAATCACAAAAAAAAAATGAAAAGTTACCATTGTGCAATGCTTTGGGGAGGCCAATTCTGGAGAAGCACCGACATAAACAAACAATGATTGCTGTGAATGGTGGATCTTCCATATCTATTTAGTTTACCATAGGGTGCAGATCAAAACAATAGGGGGACCAACCAACCAATTTGGGGTTTTGTTTGTATCGGTGTCCAAAATTGGGAAATTCGATGGTTTCATGGGGACACATCTTCAACCAACCAAAACTAGGAACTTGGAATGTGAAAAATCGGCCCAAAGGGGACCAATGATGTCCGAACGGTCGGGCGAAGCCCCAAACCACGAAGCTAAGCCAAGATCTTCAAGATCACCATTTCACCAACAAAATTTGGCTTCGAATGCTCAATTCATGGCCATAGTAACCATAGGATGGATCGCTGAACAGCCCTCCTTTGGCTAAACCCGATGTCTGGAGATTGGACGACGAAACTACAAAGGTGTGGATTCAACCAGTGAATTCACAACACGGTGGTAAACAGTGATTAATAGTGATTAATAGTGATTAATAGTGACTAATGAAAACAGAATTTTTGGTGCCAACAGTGATTTCCATGTGCTTTGCAGTTTGACCAATGAAAACAGAACCACTGTGGGGAACACTAATTTTTTGAGCGCCATCCAATTTGAGCAAATCATCCAATGTCGCAGAACAACCTGAACTGGCTAATGGACATGGATGGGGGAAAAAAAAACTAATCCCTACACTCATAATGAAAATGTTCATACCTTGGTAAACCATCACATCATTAAAATCCATTAAACAATATACTACAAAAGTATAAATTATATAATCCTATTTTTGCTCATGCCCCTGCCTCCTTGCACAAACTATGGTAACTTACCAACCACCATCCAAATGGGTTTGTATGAAAATAGGATACCCCATAATTGATCGTCACTCGTTTCATTTTCCCCGTTAAAGTTGCTACTTGAGAGGCCATGTTACATGTTCAGGCCTACCGAAATAATCGTATGTTCTATGTTCTTATTCTATATGGATGTATGTGTATATATATATACACAGTATATATGGCACCATTATATCCCCATTCTATCCCCATCAAATGCTTGGTTTTCCACATCTCAGTTCCACTTGCTACATCCCACCTGTTGGCACGTCGCTGAACTTCAGACCCAATGATGGAGAGAGATCACCAGGCCAGCGGTAGTACTCCTGCGCAGATTTCTTGTCTGGATGTTTCAATAGTCATGGGTGTACCCCAATAGCTGGATGGTTTGTAGCGGAAAATCCCAAACAAAAATGGATGATGACTGGGGCTGGGGGTGCCCCCAGCCATTAGAAAAAACCTCCATGTAATAATACCCACAGGCCCCTTGTGGTGCCCAAGCCCAGAATAGCGTAAATTACAAGGATTTTTTGTTCACACTATACATCTCATATAAATTCTCCCACCCACGTTAAACTCTTACATTCATTGAAGATTTTCAATAAGGGTTTAATTCTCCCACCCCCGTTAAACTCTTACATTCATTGAAGATTTTCAATAAGGGTTTAATTCTCCCACCCCCGTTAAACTCTTCCATTCATTGAAGATCTTCAATAAGGGTTTAATTCTCCCACCCCCGTTAAACTCTTACATTCATTGAAGATCTTCAATAAGGGTTTAATTCTCCCATCCCCGTTAAACTCTTACATTCATTGAAGATCTTCAATAAGGGTTTAATTCTCCCACCCCCGTTAAACTCTTACATTCATTGAAGATCTTCAATAAGGGTTTACTTCTCCCACCCCCGTTAAACTCTTACATTCATTGAATATCTTCAATAAGGGTTTAATTCTCCCACCCCCGTTAAACTCTTACATTCATTGAAGATCTTCAATAAGGGTTTACTTCTCCCACCCCCGTTAAACTCTTACATTCATTGAATATCTTCAATGAGGGTTTAATTCTCCCCACCCCGTTAAACTCTTACATTCATTGAAGATCTTCAATAAGGGTTTAATTCTCCCACCCCCGTTAAACTCTTACATTCATTGAAGATCTTCAATAAGGGTTTAATTCTCCCATCCCCGTTAAACTCTTACATTCATTGAAGATTTTCAATAAGGGTTTAATTCTCCCACCCCCGTTAAACTCTTACATTCATTGAAGATCTTCAATAAGGGTTTAATTCTCCCACCCCCGTTAAACTCTTACATTCATTGAAGTCTTCAATAAGGGTTTAATTCTCCCACCCCCGTTAAACTCTTCCATTCATTGAAGATCTTCAATAAGGGTTTAATTCTCCCACCCCCGTTAAACTCTTCCATTCATTGAAGATCTTCAATAAGGGTTTAATTCTCCCACCCCCGTTAAACTCTTACATTCATTGAAGATCTTCAATAAGGGTTTAATTCTCCCACCCCATTAAACTTCTACATTCATTGAAGATCTTCAACAAGGGTTTAATTCTCCCACCCCCGTTAAACTTCTACATCATTGAAGATCTTCAATAAGGGTTTAATTCTCCCACCCCCGTTAAACTCTTACATTCATTGAAGATCTTCAATAAGGGTTTAATTCTCCCACCCCCGTTAAACTCTTACATTCATTGAAGATCTTCAATAAGGGTTTAATTCTCCCACCCCCATTAAACTTCTACATTCATTGAAGATCTTCAATAAGGGTTTAATTCTCCCACCCCCGTTAAACTCTTCCATTCATTGAAGATCTTCAATAAGGGTTTAATTCTCCCACCCCCGTTAAACTCTTACATTCATTGAAGATCTTCAATAAGGGTTTAATTCTCCCACCCCCGTTAAACTCTTACATTCATTGAAGATCTTCAATAAGGGTTTAATTCTCCCACTCCCCCGTTTAATTCTCCCACTCTTTACATTCATTGAAGATCTTCAATAAGGGTTTAATTCTCCCACCCCCGTTAAACTCTTACATTCATTGAAGATCTTCAATAAGGGTTTAATTCTCCCACCCCCGTTAAACTCTTCCATTCATTGAAGATCTTCAATCATCATCATCATCATCATCATGAAATTTGCCGGGAACGTCCCTGTAAACTTCCGGGCAACACAAGGGGCCTGGCCGTAATAATACTTAAGAGTGTTTTGCTGCTTTTCTTTCCCATGTTCTTGATGCTTAAAGCTTGAATCCCATGGTGAAGTCCCATGGTGTCCCATCGTGTCCCGTGACGTCGATCCAAGGCACTGGCACGATGTATCCCAGGCACGCGAACATGGCCACACGGCCGTGCCTTGGAACCATCCAGTTACTATTGGCGGTTGCACCTTTCGATGTGACTTTTTTTGAAAAAAAACAATGTCACCTCATCTAGTCCCAAGAGATAATCTTGGGGCCTATAATCCATGTGCTTCAAGAATGATGATTTATGCAAGTCAAACTGGCGATTCAGCAATAGGTGTTTTTAGAAGGAATTGTGACCGCTTGATTTAGCGAAAGATTTACGTAGTTACAATCAAGCTGGGTATCTGGAGAAGTATTCCTAAAATTTCCTAGTCAAAGAGGTTCTGCTCAAGCGGCTAACAGTTCATTCATTGACTGCAGCCGAGCAATTTTGAAGCGACTCAAAACCAGACATTCTAGCCACAGTTTGGACCGACCTCGATCTCTTAAATACCCAAGGGTGTCAGCACATTAGGCAACCTCATTGGATAGCAAAAACCAGGCATCTTTCACCGGTTTCACCATCATGTTTGCCTTGCGGACAACACAACTTGTATCATGACCAACTCGCCAAAGGGGTCATCAAAAAACCTTTGTTATGGTCCTGGTACTTGAGTTCCATAAACAAATAAAAAGTACTTGAGTTCCCACATACCCTCTGGTAAACTAACGTAACTATGGAAAATCACCATTTTTAATGGGAAAACTCACTATAAATGGCCATTTTCAATAGCTATGTTAGTTTACCAGAGGGTACTGTCGTGGTCATCCCACGATCCTCGTCCAAAATGTCCAAAGTACTTGAGTTCCACATAGCGACGGCGACGGAAGGATGCGGCATCATCCGTTTTGGTGAAGCCTAAGGGGTCCCAGAAACCCACGGGAGGCTGCACTCCAAGCTCTGATTCCTAGGCGATGTTCGGTGCGACTGGTGCGACTGGAAACTGGAATCTGATGGTCAGACTGGTTCATGAATAGAATATCCCTATGAAATGGGTCATATATATAATTGTATAGTAAATTGTGTATATATATATATTATCAAAAAAATAAATAAAGGTACAGTAGCTTATTGGAAATGTATCAACCTTTTGACACATATTTTGGTGTCAGAAATGATGTGCATCATTTTGGAGAACCAGTGCTGGGGGTGTCGATCATTCCCATAGCTGCTGAGGGTCCAAAGTCTCGATGGTCACTAAATGTCATGACCCAAACAAGTAGGCGTATCAAGCACTTACTGCATTGTAGAAATCAAAAACGTGGGCTCCTACCACTTTCATAACCCTACTTTTCAGGGAGCAGTATCCTTGAGCCGTCACTCTCTTTCAAGGCAGGAGGTGTTTATGCAGTTCGGTCATCACGATCTGGCGTGTTGCGGTTTTACCCCAGCAGAAGGATGCTAGGGTTGTCAATTCTACTTGTCACTGCAGTTGGGAGATTTTCAAGATGACATGTTTGATCAATAAATATGGCAGTGTGTCAAAACCAATAGTACCCCTTTTTTGTTCACATCAAAATAGCTGGTAAATGGATGTTCATCCCCCTAAAAATGGTATTAATAGGTATTGATCCATACCCAAATAACCTTCCTCCGGCTCACTTTTCCGAGCATCAAAGGCCCTCAAAGGCGACTCCGTATAGTTGGCCCAGTCACCCCAGGCGGAACCTGTCAGCCCGTCTTGGAAGAACATACCTCAGCTGTTCATCAAATGAGAGGTGTAAACAGTGTAAACTCGCTGAACAAAGGGACAACCTGCCATCTGCTTTTTTAGATAAAACTGTTGTATCCTGTTGGGTGGAATCCTTCACAACTGTGAGATATTTTTCGGTGGCGGCCAGATGATCATCCTAGTCACAAAGATTTGCAGATCTTGCAGATGGAGATTTCACCGACCTTTTAATGGTGGAAATGGCACAATGGCACTACTGTATCTTGTCTTCTCCAAATCTGAGTGTGCACTACAAACCCAAATTACCAGAAATCCTATACTCATACAGTCTGTTTGTGCATGTTTGGAATGCTCATTCAGGCTTAGATTGTGGAAAGACCCCAGAAAAAGGCTTCAAATTTCCTGGCCACCAGAAATGATCCTTGGGGGATAGAAACAATCAGGATTTGGAGCATCCCAAAGTTGAAGGAACACCAAATCTGTCCAAATGATTGCGCACATAAGTCCTTTCCATCACATCTGTAAAATTAGTGTAATTATATGTATAATAGTATTATAATAGTATTGTAATAGTATTATAATCGTATTATAATAGTATTATAATAGTATATAATAGTATTATAATAGTATATAATGTCTGTATGTCACCTTCTTGTGAGGGGATCAATCTTTCATCGGCCAATGGGCCCTGGCATCCGGTCTCCCCTTTCAAACTGAGACACCGATGATGGCCATCATGGCCAGGCGTCCGTTAGCGATCTCAGCGTTCCTGGGACGGGAACATGTTACAGGAATTGTCGCATTGCCGTGTTTACCCATAAAAAAATGGAGCTTCTTTTAATGGGAAAACGATCTATAAATGGGGAACATTGCCATGTTTGATTGCCAGAGAGTACACAAAACCATAAACCATCATTTTAATTTCATCAGGCCTGGGTTGCACATACATATAAGGCATCCCCAACTAGCAGGTTATTTTTAACATACGTTCCGGTTTGTTATTGGGTTTACCACAACGTAACAATCTTTGCTGCAGGGAGTCAATTGTTTCACCTGGACAGACTAGAATTGAATGAGATATCGGACAAGACTGGAGTCTCACAATTTCAGACCGTGCCAGGGACCTGTGAAACAGAGATGGACAGACTAGGTTCTTTTTATATTCAAGGATTCCAATGTGGTAATGACCAAATAGCCTCAATCTTGCGGTTGGGGATGCGTACCAAATGGGATCCTCGAATCACGTGCCGAGTGGCAACTTCTTCTTCTTGACTTCAGGATCCGCAATGGCCTTGCCACCCAAATATCCTGGAAGGCCCAAGAAGCCGTACCTCAAGCTGGGTCAGGTGAGGTTCCAGTGGCCGGCCCCAAGCTGATGTGTTTATATGTGTTTGGTCAGTTTGGTCTGTCAAGTTGATAGGGTCTTCCAACCTTCATCCATTGAATCTATGGTCTTCACTGGCTTCACCGCAAGGCCAAGATGCTCATAGTTGGTGGTTTCCTCACCAAAGAGACGAGTGCACAGCTTGCCTGGAGGATTGGTGGGCACCTGTGCGATGCGAGAAGGGTGGACACCAAGCGCCTGGGAATCCAATGTCCGAAGTACCAGGCACCATTCACCATACCCAGAAAGTTTGTTTGATGGGGTTTCACATCCCTCAACTTTCCTCAACCAGTTTGGAAAAGCACATTAATGTGAAATTTTCTAAGAACCGTCCAAGACTCCAAGACTAGTTTGAACCCTGGCAGCCATCTCCCTGTAGTGGTGACATCCCCCATGAAAAGGCCTGGTGCATGAGCCACAGGTCGCAGATGCCGCAGAAGACGGTGTACCTTGGCCGGAAGATTCTCCACATCAACTGACTCAAAATAATTTATAGAATCAAATCTGGGAGTTTCCTGTGAATTTTCCCTTCAACAAATTCTGCAACAAGAATGTGGATTTTCAGTCTACCACTTTGGATCTCACAGGCACCCTCACAGCAGCAGTGTCCCCAAGCCTCTGCCATTGCATCCAAAAGAAGATAGGATACTGGTTGGTTAAGAACGGAAACCCCAGTTCATTGATCCAGACAACCGCAAAGATATATGAGCATACACATATCTACATGTATACATATACATATACATATATACATATATACATATATATATATGTAGATGTATGATATGTTTCCAAATACATATATATATATATATATGTACATATACATATATACTCACATACATATATATATATATATATCTACGCATCCCTCAGCTCACTCATTTTGCAGTCTGCATTCTCTTGGTAAGTTTCCGGGGATGATCGCCATTCGGAGTGCCAAACGTTGGACAGTTGCAGCTCGTAAGCCTGGACAGAGTCCTGGCTCGTAAGCCTGGACAGAGTCCTGGCACTGCAGCTTCAAACAAGAAATGGCACCTCCCCTCTCCAACTTTACAAAGAGCCGTCACCTAAGGTACGTGCGGTACATGGTTGGCTTAGCCAGGTGACTGCAGACAAAACGGATAAAAAGAGGCTGCACTACGAATCTTAACCCTGCAGTGCTCCGGTAGTTTTGCCAGGAGGCTTTCTGCCGCCAATTCTTGGAGGTAACTTTCAAGGCTGCTTTGGGATACCAGTCGCATACGCCACATGATATCCTGGATGGGCTCACCACGCTTGTAGGCGAGGATTGCCACCTCGTACTCCAGCAGGTGTCGGCCGCTGGCTCTTTGGGATGGCAAGCGCGCCCAAAATCTTCTCCCAGGCAGAAAAGTTTCTACTGCCCGAGACCGCGCCTTAGCATGCGAGAATGGAACAAGACCATCAGCTCTCTTTGGCTTGTATTTGATCCTCACGATGACCTGCCCAAGTTCTGTGGACACGGTCTACACGCTCCTCCCCCACGGCTTCCAGCTCCAACTGTGAGCAGCCATGGAGACCACTCTTGGCAGAGCGCAACTACCAGTCGATGGGACGCACTCAATTTCCACATCTGTGAACTCCCTTAGTGCGCCCACAGAAGGCCACGGTGGCAAGATCGATTTCCTGCGAAGGCAATTTATTGACTTCAACTTCAACTTCATGGGAGTCCAGGAATCGAAATCCCCAGAGTTCTGCTCTTGCGTGGACCATGTCCTTAGACTCAGCTCTGGCTGCCACAAAAATCAGCAGGGGGTGGAGTCATGGGTCAACTTGTCGCAGCCGTATGCCTATGTCAACAACCAGCCGGTGTTTCTTGACAAGGGCGACATTCAGGTGGCACACAAGGATCCACGTGCTCTTTTGGCCCGCATTGAGACCATTTATTGGCAATGCTGGTTGTTGGTGGCATATGCACCACATACGGGGCTGCCCCTGGGCCAACGTGAGCAATGGTGGACTTCTCTTGCAGAGCTTGCACATCGCCGTGGACGTGATGAACAGATGATCGTTTTACTCGATGCTAATGCAGCTCCAGGTCCTCGTGATGACATCGCCGTCTTCACCACTGGTCTGCCTGAGTCAGCCAACACACCTCTTTTTAGGGGGTTTGTTGAAGAACATGGGCTCTTCCTTCCGTGCACAACACCAGCTCATCATGGCGACATCACTGCATGGACAGATCCCACAGGGACACATCGCCACTGCATAGAGTATGTGTTGTTGTCTCATCACTTCGACAAGTCATGCACGCTTTCCAGGGTGGTCTCGGAATTTGACCTGGGCACACTACATTGGGACCATGAGCCGACAGCGGTACACTTGGCTTCGGAGACCTGGATTCCCCATCGACAGAAGCAGCACAAGGATAGCTTGGGGTTTGATCCCAGCCTGATCAACAAGGCTGTGGCGCACCAAGTCCTCCGAAGCTACACTCCCAAATCATGGACAACGGACATTGAAGAGCACGTCCCCGACTTCAATCAGCACATTCTGTCAGGGCTTCGTCAGGCATGCCCTTTGCCTAGAACAAAGCCCAAAAAGCCCTACATCACTGACGCGAAGTGGTTGCTGCGAGAGCGCAAGCCAAGAAGAAGCTCAAAGACTTGATGAGGAGGCAGCGAGATGAACGATTGGGCTCCTTCTTCCGGGCTTGGAAGCGGGGTCAATCCCACATGGCACAGCATGACCAGTACAAGCAGTACCAAGACTATCTGTGGTGTGTGTCAATCTTCGACTGGTTGCCGCCTATAGAAGAGCTGCACTGGAGTTGCGCAACAACCTTCGCAAGGCCAAACAGATGCTCATCAAGGAGAAGTTCGAAGCCATGCCAGCTGATGCACCAGCCAGTCACATTCTCCAAGCGCTTCGTCCTCTATTGGGTCCTTCCAACCTCAAAAAGCTGAAGGTCCACACGTTACCGCACATTCTCAATGCGGACGGTGAAGTATGTATAGCTTACCCAATGAAGTTGTTGAGGTCTGGCTGGAGTTTTTCAGACAGATGGAAGGGGGAGCCCGAATGGACAGAGATCGTCAACGTGAGCTTTGGCAAGAAAATTTGGCTTCCCTCCACCAAAACGATTTCAAGATCAATGCAACCGACTTGCCGTGCTTGCTGGACCTCGAAGCAGCCTATCGCCGCATCAATCCCAACAAAGCGATCGGGCCAGACAAGATACGTCCAGCCTTTTGCAAAGCGATGCCACCGCTGCTGGCAAGACGCACCTATGGTCAACTTATGAAGCTGATGGTGCATGGACAAGAGGCATTGGAACATAAAGGTGGGGTATTGTGCCACATCTGGAAGTCGAAGGGACCCAAAGACGAGTGCTCTGCGTACCGCAATATTTTGGTGTCCAGTTTCATTGGCAAGAGCTTGCGCCGAAGCCTACGACAGCGACAGAACACTCTGTTTGAGAAGCTCATGCAGAAGGAGCAGCTAGGAGGTAGGCCGAAGGTGCCTGTTACGCTGGGCGTTCATCTGGGTCGAGCTTTCATGAGGGCCCACAAACAGCAAGGCCACAACATCACCATGCTCTACCTGGACCTGACAGAAGCGTTTTACAGGATCCTTCGACCGCTTGTTGTCGGAGGTCCTGTTTCAGACAAGCTCATCATGCATGTGGGGAAACGCTTGGGGCTCGCCACTGACTTGCTGGGGGACCTGCACAGCCTCCTGGATGAGCCCACGGCTTTGGAAGCGGCAGGGTTGCCAAGGCATATGCGAAATACCATCCGAGCCCTACATGTGAATACTTTCTTCGCCGTCAGAGGACAGGGAGACGTATGCAGGACCCAATTAGCTTCGCTGATGTTATTTTCTCCTATTTGTGGAGTAGGATCCTGCACAAGCTACAGCATACCCTTGAGGACTCCATCCCGGAGGACACGGGGCTACGTCTGGCGAGCGGACAACAACCACCGGCAACAACGACCAGGGGTTTCCTAGGTCCGACTTGGATGGATGACACATGCGTTTGCGTCTCTGATCCATCACCTCAGGCCCTCGAGCGGAAGATTCACCAAGCTACCTGCCAACTGCTGGAGCTCTGTGATGTTCATGGGCTCACACCCAATTTGGGTGCAGGCAAAACGGAAGTGCTATTGACCTTCCAAGGTCATGGATTGAGGAAAATGACAGTGAAGTACTTTGGACCATCCTCGGACCGATCTCTTTTGATCGTGGGAGAAAGGGGGCCTCGAAGAGTTCGCGTTGTGGCTCATTACACCCACTTGGGATGTGTGACACACCATCGAGGAGACAGCCGTGCTGAAGCCCGTCGCCGCATTGCAATTGCTTTCGCAGCACAGGAAGCATTTACTCCAAAATCCAGTCTTGTCTATGCAAAGGAGGCTGGAACTTTTTCGAACTTTGGTGATGAGCCGCTTCTGTTATGGCACGGAATCATGGACCCTGGCCGAGGGACGCACCAAGGAGTACATCCACAACGCTCTCATGCGCCTCATTCGAGGCTTCTAGGAAGAGCTCATGACGAACATCTCACTGACGAGGACATTCTCACCATGGTGGGCATCAACAGTCCGACGAGCTGCTGCGGCTGTCCAAGCTTCGATACTTGGGCACCCTTCACAAATGCGCCCCACTTGTGCCATGGGGCCTTTTGAATAGCGACTCTCAGTGGATTGAGCTGATACAGGACGACCTCCAATGGGCTTGGCAGCAACTTCAAGGTGCATCAAGCTTGTCAGATCCATTGCTTTCACTTGAGGCATGGCAAAATATTTGGGTGCACCACCCATCCTATTGGCGACGTTTAGTCCGACGAGCGGGAGAGCACGCCATTCTACAGCGACAACGACACCATCGAGTTGAGAGGTTCCACCAAGCCTTCCCCCAGCTCTTCCACCAAGCCTTCCCCCAGCTCTTCCACGAAGCGCACCAGGCCGGTTTGTGAGAACGGAGGACCATGAGCAAGTACCGGTGGACCTGGATGCATCGGGTCCCCACGCTTGCATGGCCTGCAAGCGACTATTTCGCAGCAAGGGCGGCCTTGGCGCACACTTCTTCAAGAAGCACGGCACCATTTCGCGCCTTCGCTTGCTGTTCGATACAACCGGCTGGGGACATTGCCTCAAGGAGTACCACACCCTTTAGCAAGCTCCATGCACACCTTCGTTACTCTATGGCTTGCAGAGCTGCACTTTGGGGCAGCCGTCGCCGCTATGCGCCTGCTGGGGGTGCAGCCTCTGAAGTGGACCGATCCCTTTGTAGACAACATGACGGACTGCTTCCACTTCTACAAGCGGCGGGACCGAAATTACAGGAGCAGCCTGCCACGGAGTTGCCGGTCTTCGACCTCTTGCTGGGGGAGCAGATCCACGTCGAGATCGTGGAGAACGAGGGCATGGACGACGTGGAGACGGTGGTCCGCAAAACGATCGAGAAGTACCCGGTGTCCTGGGTTACGTGCCGGGAAACCTTGGGCTATTTGCGGGACTCCCTGACCGAGCAGGACATACAGGTTCTGCACATCGGGGACTTTGACATCAAGCACCTCCTTCAAGTACTTCCATCTGGAAGTGCCTGGCCTTTTCTTCAGGTGCCACATGCTCTTCATGGACAAGCCACAACACGCATGCCCCTGGAGGAGATTGAGCAGATGTGCATGGAAGAGAGTGTGCAGGGTCCTCACCGCGCGCCATTTTGGGTTGTTCCACGAGCCATGGCCAAAGAGCGATTCATTATTCACGCCTTTTCGGGCCGACGTAGGCCAGGAGACTTTCAGCACTTTATTGAGCAGGCACAACAGAGTTTCCCAGAGGTTACCATCTTCACCATTTCAGTGGACCTCATGGTGGACCTCGTGTGGGGAGACGTGTCCAAGGACTCGGTGAGGAGCTTCTGGCTGAACGCTGTCCGCCAACGACAGGTCGTGGCGGCTATGGCAGGCGAAAGCGAGCGTTTGGCGCCTCCCGCTGCTGGTCTACCTTTGTGAGTGGCCGGAGTTTGATTTTCTTGAAGTCTCACAAGGATTCTTCGGCGCCCCGAGTAGAAAGCCAACGGGCCTACTCCTCCTGAGTTTGACACGCATTCGCAAGTGGCAACTGACCACTACGATGCCTCGGGGCACAAGCATTGGCAAGACCGCCACAGGAGAGTGGGCGACAGGGGCACTCAAAGAGTGCCCACCGGCGTTTTGCGCTGGTTTGGCGAATGGTTTTGTCTCTACGCTCCGTGACCATCCAACGGACGTGGACTGTGAGACTTGTCCCGATTTCCGAAGGCAGGCAGTACAGCTGGTTGTCACGCACCAATGTATAGGCCCGGATTTCGCTGGATGACATTTCTCCTTTTATTTCTAGGGTTTTCTTTCCGAATTCATGCCAGGCCGCAGCACCTCAGAGCTTCGATGTGCCTCGAGCAACAAAATATACTCACATATACATATATATATATACATATATATATATATATGTGTAGATGTAGATGTATGATATGTGTCCAAATATATATATATACATACGGAATAGTATAAGCCTCAGAATCATCAATCTTCCCAGCATCACCAAGCGTCTGGAACCATCCCACGGCGGGGACCTTGGTGGCCGCGGCCAGGCCGTTGGGCACGTCCGTGAATTTGATCTCGCTGCTGGGAGACAGAAATCCTGGCGTTGGGAATTTCTACGGCGGCCACGGGTTGGCTGCGTTGGGAAAAAAAGGGCTGGGATTTTCCATCAGAATATATCAGAAATATTCAGAAATGGTGATGAATATATATATATATTATGAATATCATTGTTTCCATGAAAATAGTCTGAAATAGAAATACACCAGAAAGAAATCATCTCAGAGTAGCTCAGCAGATAGGTCATTTTCCAGAAAAATGGGTGGAACATGATATGTCCAGATCCTGGAAAGTTGGAAAAAGTTGCTATGCATGAAGCCAGAAATTGACCAAGAACCGGTTTTTCGGGGGCATATGAAGCTAGTGAAAATATACCAACCAAAATTTTGGTCGGTGAAGTCAGATGTTCATCCTGCAGCCCTGGGGAGCCCTGGGGTTCACCAGACCTGGGAATCGAAAGAACTCCTGCACAATATAGCCAGTGCCTGAGTCTTGATTCATACCCCAGCAGCCCAATGGGCATGATGCAGTTGCACCAGGATTGGAAAAATGTCAGCATGTTCCCAAGCATATGGGTTTGAAGCCTCGTTGGACAAAGCTCTTAGTTGAAAGGGATTCCAAAGTCCATGACACCTGTGATATCCTACCAAGTTCCAGTCTCATGTTACAGCTGTCAATTCAAAGAAGTGAATCCATTTGCTGCAAAACCACTTCATCGAGCAGTCAAGTTTTGGCTAACCTCAAGAACTGAAACAGCTCAATCTCTTTTTAGAGACCAAAACCTGAAGGACTGAAATTTGACCCTCCCACCTTATTCTTGGATACATAGATTCAGGTGTTTCTGGGGATAGGTGTTTAGTCCTATCCCAAACCTTTCGATAGTCGGAGGATTTCATGTGCTTGGCATTCAGCCATCCAATGGTTGAGTCAGGTCTCCAGTCCGAAATCTGCGTTGAACATCCCAAAACATCCTTCCAGTGATTTGCATCCAAGGTTTTTTTTTGGTGCCTAACTTGGACCCAGCAAAAAAGAATGGCTCAAAAACATTGGTTTACTTGCTACTATTAATGGGTTTCAAATTGGCAAATAAAGCCATGTATTTCTGTAGAACTGAGCAACTGAGTAACATACTAGATAACAACCTCCCAAAAAAAGATTGAGACCAGTAAAGAAAAACATGAATTTACTGCTCCAGTGATTCTTTTCTGCATCTTTCTGGGAAGGTACGTTCTTTTATAGTACCCCACGAAAGTGACTATGACACAACCGACCCGGGCCGGGGCTCCAGACATGCCAACATGGAGACACGTCCATGCTTGATCTCCACCACACGGCGTCGATAGAACTCCTGGTTCCAACGGGGGATGAATTGGGTATGGATCAATACCTATTATAATACCATTTTTAGGGGGATGAACATCCATTTACCAGCTATTTTGATGTGAACTACAGGGGTACAAGGTTTTGACACATCCCCATATGAACAGAAATGAGTGGATTGACACCTGGATGCGTCAAGGTGGCTTGACCCATCTTGACCCAAAGAATCCGGGACAGGATTCGACAAAGGATGAAACTGAATTTGCCATCAACAAGCATGATAATTTGACCAAGGATGGTGAAAGTAGATACAATCAAAAAGAAACATCAACCAGCAAGAATCCACGTAGTCATGGCCATAGCTCAAAGATATATAAAATCCATTTTAAAAAAATCCTACCCCCAACTGGCTGGTGTCATAAGTGGGATTTCTGGTTGCAAACCCTATATTCTATGGAACTCCGTGGTAAAGATGGGGGAACAACAGGTGTCCTATCTGTTTTTCTTAGATCAATGAAAATGGAACAAGATATTTTTACACCTCTGCCTATCCGTGTCCGCGTTTGATTCACTTCCAAGCGTCCCTGGCATCTCCATCAGAGGAAAGGCCTGCTGGGTCCCAAAATCCCAGTGGAGGTTGCACACCTGTCACGGTGCATCCGTTTCGGATCATGAAAACCCTTAGACCTAAGAGTGATAGTAATACTCATATATTTATAGAACTATTTTAGTGGATACTGTATATAACTCTATGTATATATATATACCCATATCACATAACTTAGTCAAATAGTTAAGTTATATACAGTTATATGATATGGGTATGAGTCAGTCAGCCCAAGTAGCTGGTCAATGGATGTTTATCCCAAAAAAAAAACGCATAATAGGTCAATAGGTTTTGATCCGTCGCCATAATGTGCAGCTATCATGAGTCGTCTAATTACATTCTGAAGCTACCAGTTCAACTGCAACTTCTGTTTGCTATCCTCATTTTTGAGAAATTTGATCATGCGTGCAGGGCTGCGACTAAGGATTGGGCAGCCAAAGCTTCAGGCCATAGTGAAACCAGGAGGAATGCTTCAACACTTCCATTGGTGCTGGTGGGATACCCATTTTACCCTACCCAACGGGAAACCAGGACCATCAAACATCATCAAACCGAGAAATGTTTCCATGAAGCATCTTTGGGAAACATCTAGAGATAGGAGGCAATTGTCTCGCTTGCGTTATTGTTATCAAGAAAACCCTTGGTCCTCCCTGACATCCCTCACAAGGTCAATTGATTTGAGTTTCCGTCGGATTCCATTTTCTGAGACGTTTTCCATGCTGGGTGTGTTTTGGATTTCTGTCTAGAAAAAGAAACACACAATTTTACAGATGCGTGACTTCTATATTCAAAACATTGTTCTTAAAACTAATAATCAATAATCACAATAAATAAAAAATAATAATCATTAGGAAAAATAATCAACAATCTACAAATTATATGAAATTATATAGGTGCTTTTATATCATGTTCAATGTCAAGAATTTATTGCGACATTCAACTCATCCAACCACCTGGCTCCGCACCTAGCTCGTTCTCAAAGGCCTTGGTCGTCGTCTTGGCATGTCGTGCCCGCAGCACTGCAGCGCCCAAGGCACCCAAAGTAATGCCAATCGCAGCAGATCCACCTGAGGGGAATAACAGGGATATTTCAAGTGCTTCCGCTTTTTACGCCGCAATAAAAATAATTTCAGTTTGATGTTATATATGTGTATGCGTTTTTCGTTTGGAACAAAGCTAACAACAGAAAAGTGTGCGTTAGAAACGTAGCCAAAAAAAATGGTGGGTGGTTTGGTGATCCAACACAAATTGGCACTTCAATGCACTTCAGACTTCATATATATAAGTGCATCCCCACTGCTTAAATGTTGGACAAGAGCCGTTCAAACTGGTACATGGTGAAGCTTTATAGGAGTCCGGGGCAAATGATGGTTTGCAGAAGCTCCACACATCTCAAAAATTGGGGATGGGTCCGAAAGTAGCGCAAACCCATCAGCCTGCCCTTCCTATGTAAGCTTTATGAAGACATTCCAATGAGCGGAACTTGCAGCGAAAGAATACTGTAAATTGGAGCCAGCCGAGGATAGCCCAACACATGAGTTTCTTTATGCTCTGCCTGTCTAACAAGGCGGTGAAAAATCCATCATGTTTCCGTCACGTTCATCCATTTATACCTCTGGTAATTCAACACAGCTATGGAAAAAGATCTATCATGATCTATCCATCTTTAATAGGTAAATCATTAGACTCAATGGGCCATGATTTCCAGTTCGCAAAAAAATAAACATAACCAGAGGGTAACAGTATTTATAACCAGTATTGAGAAGAAGTCCCCATTAAAACCCCTATTTTCCATGGTGCCGGGAGACTGTGACTGCTGGCAGAAGTCTCCGCCTGGAGATACTATCTGGGATAACATGGTGATTTGTGCGGGGTATATTTCATGATGTAGAATAATAACATAGTGATATTTTTATGTACGTATAGGTAGTGATATATAATATAAATGAAAAACAAATCTAATAACATTATGTCTAATAACATCTAATAACAATGAATTCGCCTATGATAATGGTTTGGTGATAAATCAGATAAATGGGATAACAATGAGATAATGGTACCTATGGTATCACCATGGTACCTATAATGTAATGGGAGAACATGGTGATGTCATGGGGTGTTTAATTGTCCCACAATGGCAAAGCCTAATGAGTTTCAATTTTCAACTTGTTGATGTTCTGCAACTTGGCGCCAACGGGGCGAAGAATGCTCGACCATGCTCGACCCTGTAGAGGTTCCAACTCACCAATCTGATTGTCCAAGATCACTCTTTTCAGAGAATCATGCAACTGAACAACTATCTCCTGCTTAAATCCCATTAAACCACCATTTTCCTATGGCTTTCCTATGGGATTGCTACCCTCTTTCCTGGCGACAACTATCTCCTGCTTGGCCAAATCCAGGATGCTCAGCTACTGTATAGACTCCATTGAAACCCCAATCAACACTAGTTACAGTGACTTACAGTATTCCAAATATATTCCAAGTCATCATCATTTGGGTACCCTTTTTTGTAAACTTCCACTTAAAACGATGGCACTATGGCACTATCACCAGCCATTTTTTTTGGAGAAATCAACTAGAAATCGACTGGGCCAGTTTCAATGGGATCCCCAGTCGTCCTGAGCAACGCCGCTTCGTCGTGTTGGTGCCGTCTGGGTGGACCTCTGAGTGTTGGGCAAGACGAAGGCGCAGCCTACGCCGATGGAAAAACCGGAAAATCCACGGGTTTTCCCCGGGAGAATCAGGAGGAAAACATAGGAAAACTCACATTTCAAAGACCATGGAAAAATATGTTTAAGTATAGCAATTCTGTAGATTTCCCTGGAAACCCTTCGATATTGAATGATTCTTTTTCCAATTACTGTTCCCGAAAACTTGTTGTTTTTCACTTATATAAGCCAATTCTGATACAAGCAGCCATGAGCTACCCTCAGATTTCTGGACCCAAAAAAGATCACGTTTCATTGCTAGTCGCAGACCCATTGTTGTTGACAAGAGCCCACACTTGAAGCTGTATCACTTTGATGGTCTATGATACTGTGGATAGAAGAAATCATGCACCAGTTGATAGGTGGTGTATCCCAGTATTTATAGGACTTCAACCATCCGTTTGGTGGTGCAGGATTTCGCAACCATCCACCGTAGGATTCTGGTCAAAATGATCATCAAAAGTTCCACGAAGAACTGAATATGTCCATCACTGAAGAAGGTACTGGTGCAAATTAGGGGAAATAAATAGAACATGTTTGGAGGGTTTTGGAAATATCTGGAAACCTTTGTTGCATTAAAACCACACGTTTGACGCTTTGTTGCTTAGGAAAGAACAAGACAAACATGTTTGATGAGTAGGAATAATGCCTATTACTCGTGTACTAATCAGCTCACAGCTGTTCCGTTGCTCGTTCTTCAGCAACCAGATCCCCCATGTCTTAATTGTAATCATGTTTGATGGTGATTCACTAACCAGCTCCTACCTGGGATGACGATCCAACTGCAGTTGACATTGCGAATCCAGGGTAGCCTGAAAAAGAAAAAACGATCTTCAGCTGGTCAGCATATCCTCAATTTAAGTGTTATATATATATATGGACAATCATATCACCATTTGAATCCATTTGAGTATGGGCAAAATCATCACCCCTCAAGACTTGATCTCCATTGAAATGGCTCAGTTTAGCCACTTAACAAACCATGCCCTCCTTTTTGTCGTTGAACCTCCCACATGAAATCCTGATTTAGTATGTGATTCTATTCATGTTCGAGTCACATGTTGGGGGTATCTATATATATATATCATCTATAATAAAATTACTGATTGGTGGTTTCAACCATCTAAAAAAATAATTCAGATGGGATCATCTCCACATTATCCAGAGTTGAAGATTAGAAAAGAATGATTGAAACCACGAACCAGGTAGAGTAGTTCCATGTTCCCAGTGAACAAAAAAACAAAAAACATCAAAAAACTAACCTGTCCCAGTATACTGATTGGTTGATACTTCTCCCTAGTATGGCTAGGAAGAATCCCCAAGAACCCAAGTTCTTGTTTTGCTGCCCATAATCAACAGGCTGATGGTGAGCAAACGTCCGCCTGCCAGGGCAGCCGCGGCCACAGCGCTCTTGGACGACGATGGAGCCATTGGGCGGAACGGACCCTTCGTCGGAACGGAGCTGGCTCGATGGGTGGCCGTGGGCTCAACGGAACGGCGACCGGGATCGCGGGATCAAACGAATGTCCCAGGGCATCCCGGAGCATCACTGGGAATCTGGGAAGATCATCAAAATTACCCTCTGGTAATTTAACATAGCTATGGAAAATTACCATTTTTGGGAAAATTCACTATAAATGGTGATTTTCCATAGCTATGTTAAATTACCAGAGGGTATGGCAGATTTAGGGAAAAAAACACTGACAACCGCTCCGATGTCAGATAGAAAATGGGAAACGTAGGAAAATGTTTCATGATGTTCGGAGGTTTCGAAGCCTTTAGCACTTATAAAAAAGGTGGGGAAGTTGGATAGCGGGCAACACTCATGTCAGCATGCTGGTGAAGGAGCCAAGGAAAAGAACCCCAAGGGACTGGGTGGCCATAGCCAAAAACTTGGGAAAAATCGTTCGATGGTCCGCTGGCGAAATGACTGGCTCTTGCATATCTGACCGGCAACAGAGAATCCTCTCACTTACCCTCTGGTAATTTAACGTAGCTATTGAAAATGGCCATGGAAATAGTGGATTTTCCCATTGAAAATTGTGATTTTCCATAGAAAAATGTTAGTTTACCAGAGGGTACCCCCATTTGTGGATGCTGGTTCTAGTGAAAAGGAAAATCCAGTGCCGTGTTCGATCAGCTGCGGCTCTCTTTTTCAGGTCGACGTCTGTTCATCCAAGCAGACCCTCAGCGGACCTGAAATCCAAGGTGTTGAGAACATCCCATTCTGTGGACGGTGTTGGGTGTGGTGAACATCCAAAAAAAAAAACGGCATTGATCTGTTTCAGGGATATTCACCTACTCGATTTTGGGGTACTTGGTGGGTTTCCTGGATGATCCATGAAACCCAACATGCCAGACATCCACCCAGCAGTTGCAGCAATCTGGTCATGTGAGATATGCTGCATATGCTTGAACTCTGAGGGAGTAGAGCTAAACTGCCAAGAGTTGAATCGTGGTAGAGGCAAGTCCTGCACCCGTTGGAATCACGTCACATCTGGATGTTCAGCTTCCAGGTTTTTTTCCGCGCTGGGCCGCTGGATATAGATTTTAGATGATTTTACTGTGAAAATAGGCTATCCCAAAAAGATCATGGTTTTTGCAAGATGAAGTCTTGCCTTAAACTAGCCATGTGTTAGGGAGGACCATCCCCCATCGTTTTGCACAAAGCCAGCTCGCTTTTCCCCATCGTTTCCCTCCCAATTTTCCACGCCGTCTCCAAGGGTCGCCTGCTTCACGTGCGTGTCCTGGGCTTGGGAACTGTGAGAAGTCATTGGTGTTGCTGGGAAATTTAAGGACCTAAAATGGTGAAAGTCCTGCAGATTTTCTCTGCAATGGGAATGTGATATGTAAAGCAAGAGTGAACCATCCCGTCTTCCAAGCGTTGTTCCATAGCATGACCCGTCACCAAAGGATTCCTCTGTCTTATCGGGTAATCATTTAGATATTGCCAGTATATCTCCGCTTCTCTTGTGCATCCCTTGTTTCTTGACTAGAAATAAAGTATGAGCTGCACAAGTCTGGAGGTAGCAGAAACAATAAACCATGGGATAGAACGATAGACTCATCATTGAAGCAAGCATTTGGATTCCTTGTCATGTATGGGCGGGTCCAAAAATTGGGTATACTCCCCTTAAAAAACCCTTAAATGTGATGTTGACTTTTTTCCCAACATGTTCAGCTACCAAACCCATATCTCCCATACGGTGGGAACCCATACGTTCCACACCATAAGAGTTCCCACTTCCCCACCAGGGCCATGGGACGGGCAGATCGGCACGTGTGCAGCACTCTTCATCGGTGCTTCCGGGGCCTGGATTTTGTTCCGCGAGTCGGATAGATGGGTGGTGCCCCAGTTCGTTAGCTCAGTTGGTGAACATAACTCCCATTAAACCTATGGTTTATGGCAGATATAACGAACTAGTTAATGGGGTTTATAAACCAACTTATAACTGGGGGGCACCATCCTGTAGATGGATAGATGGACCAAAAATCTGAAGCCGCTTGGGAAAATAGGAAGTTCACCAACAACAATGGGGATTTCATCAGCAGTGGGTGGAGATCACCATCGAAAAATTTCGTATCAGTTTCGGAGATGTTCAATGGATTCATGGTTCAAGGCTTAAAATCTCTAGGAAATCCATGGGTTTTTACCATCTATCATATAATATAGGGGGGATCCTGTAGATTTCACCATCAATTCTGGTAGATGCATGATCTCTGAATGCCACATATACATAAGTCCATTGTACCTTTGTATCTAGGACAAGCGTGAAGAGCAAGCCACGTGTTCTTTCCTATTTGGGTTTAAGCCATGAAGCACCGGCTGTCAGTTTATGTAAAATGTGCGGGAATTCGTGTCTTACCTGCCCAGTGGTTTCAACGAAACAACGCTGGAAGAAAGTTCCCTTCCGCAATTCTACCACCAGCAAAATGACTGTGATATCTTGGGGTTTACCAGACCCTACCAATATCTTAGGCATCCCCTGGTAAACCCAAGATCCCAAGACCCAGCCCCCCAGCCGGCTCGGGGCTCCCGACGAGTCTGTGGCTCAGGCTTCTTCGTCCAACCCGCTCCCACGCAGCAATAGTCCGAACACATCAGTTGGTCATAGCACTCCTGAGGCGAAGATTTGGAACGCTGTCCAAGCCACCCATCATTCCAGGTTTTTCCTTCACAACGTGGCGTCATGATCAAAATCATCCAGATATTATACATATATAATACATATATAAAACATATTACATAAAACATGTATATATATATATATATAGATTTGGATAATGGGGAAATATGGTATTTAAAGTTTAAACCATTGGATTTTGAGGTATGTCTTGCGACAAACCCATCACTTGCTTGGAAGTCGGAGTCGGGCGGAAGAAGGCTTTAATCCCAAGGTACCACTGTGAATAGTGAATACCCTCTGGAAAGTTGTTACATAGCTATGGAAAATCACCATTTGTAGATATTCGTAGCCCCAGTTTCTACAGTTGACTCCCCCCTTTGCTTGACGGAATGACTAGGACGAAGCCAAAAGGGGGATTTCTCGACGAAGCCAAGCTGCCACATCCGTGCTGCCCTGCAGGTTTTTTTGCGCCTTTCTTTTCCACCTGCAGGTATTGGTCTGGAGTATGGACAATGATGTCAACTGAATAAGTACTGATTGAATTGTTTAGGGGGTTATCCCGAAAGTTAGAGCTTGCTGGTTTATTAAGCCTGGGTTGACATGAGTTTCGACCGATCCCCTATATTGCCATCATTCCAGTTGTTAGAATAGAAATCAAGAATGTTAAAACAAACCGCCAACTATCACAACCAGGGCTGTTTTCAACAAAACCAGTGGCATCCACCGACATAGAACTGGTATCTTCAAAAACTCAACAGGTTGACCAAGGAGAAGCAATAGCCAAGAGCAGCCAACGGCCTGTCCCCTGATGTTTTCCTAAGTGACCTGCCATTTCTCCCGGCCACAGAAGCTGCCACCAAGCAACTGTGTTGGAGTGGAGGTGGTGTACTGACTGCAGTATTTCGGCAAGCAGCACTCCTGGAGGAAGGTGCAAGCTGGGCAAAATCTGCTGCTTTAAAGTCAGGGAAATGAGTTTGCCAAACTTGTTAACCCACAGTTTCTTCAGCTCAGTAACTTAGCACTCAGGCAAAGCTGGTCCTCGTTGGTGCTGCCCTGCCATCTGTACCTGCAAGCTGATGTGCCTGGCGCCCGAACCTGGCGCCTGAATCTGGATCCAGATTGGGATAAATCCATCCAGCATAACCTCGAATGTTCCCAAAAGGCGCACGTGTTGGTGTCCACCCTCTTGTACCACATGGTGCCGTCACCATCACCATCATCGTCAGTATCACAGGTGAAATTGCCACCTTGACATGCACAGCTCACGGTTTCAGGACACCCTTCAGACACAGCTCGCTGTCTGTCTGAAAGTAGGGTATGCCCCCCATTTTGTGGCCATCTACGTGGTGAAAATGATGACGAACCATTCATTTGGAGGTACCCTATTTTCAGACAGTACCGACGATACCATATTTTCTTGAGCGTGCCAGCTTCCAGCAAAAGCCCAACAAAACCACAACATGAGGGTAGAACATCTGTACTTGTACTGTTTCCAGGGTCGAGTGGCATACCTGCGCTTTTGATCAATTCATAGGATAGAACTGCGCTTTCCGGCTATGGGAACTAAGGAAGGTATGTGTCACCATTTTCACATTTTTCTATGCGGATCGTGGTTTTAACCAACTCATTCAAAGGACAACCAGGCAATTCCACCAGTCAGTTGCCACTACTCATCATCATCATTATCATCATCATCATCATCATCAAAACCCAGATCCCAGATGGCAACTACGAACACCACCCCAAGCGGCCATTGGTCAATAAACCAGCCAACCACGCCGCTCCAAGGCACAGTAGACAGGTTCGCAGCACTGCTCCATGCTGCTGCCCTGCAATTCATCCACCTTCTCTTTGGGTTTCCACAGGGTGCTGGGGCTGCCTGAAGCCCAGGGCAACATGTTGGCGAGGACAAGTCTGTATGTGTGCTTGTGCGTCTGTATGTGTATACATATACATGTGTATATATATATATACATATGTCTATATATATATGTATATGTACATTACATATGAGCGCCTTGGTATTCATATTGCAGAGATGCTATGCATAAACAAACTATTTACTAGAACTAAAACCCAGACTGGCCAACATTTGTTTGGTTGGCGTGATCTTAAAAGTGGTGGGTAAGCAACACCACCTGACACAGAATGAGGGACTGAGATCGCTTCCCACACATTGGGAAGGATTGTAGTCAAAAACAATGGTGAGCAGAACTTGAATAGACTCAGAAAGATAGATAGAGAGACAGATAGACGGATATATAAATAGATAGATAGTTATATATCTGTATGTGTATGTATATACATACATTGAGCTGATCCTGAGTCACAGGCTCTTGTGGTATCTCACAAAAAAATGGACATCCCGCTCTGGACCAAACGTTCGAACCACCTCTTGCTTCCTCACTCTGGAAAGACATACGTGTCGACATACTCATATGCATAGACATTTATATACTGTACATACCAGTATGATCATATATGTGTGTAATATATATATATATATATGTATATACATGTGTATGTATATATATATGTATGTATGTATATATGTATGTATGTATGTATGTATGTATGTATGTATGCGTATGTATGCGTATGTATATATATATGTATGTGTATATATATATATGTATGTATATATATATAATATGTATATATATATAATATACATACATCACATATATACATCATGAAACCATATGACATCACACCCTAATTGCATATTACATTTTGATTACATATGACTATGACACTCTAGACATTACATGCACACACATATCATATATTCCAATTATTCATCGTCATCAAGGCCATATCCGCATAAATATCTATATGTTTGATTTCTTTACGCACATATAATTTATAATTAAATGCTGCCGCACATATAAATACATATAAATACACTCAACTATCCTACAGCTCAACCCGGTTTCTGGACCCACCCCGGCACCCCAGCATCCCCGTTTCAACCGCCACTGCAACCGGGGCGCAGGTCTCTGCACGGCAGAAGATCTTTTCACAACATTCCTCGTCTGAGCTGCCGCGACGATCGATGTTGCTCACGCCCAACCTGGGCGGAGCCGATCAACTGGCACAAACATGACTAGAAGAAGCAACAGAAATGGCTCGAATGCTACAAGTGGTTGGATGGCGGCAAACCAAAGAAAGACTGGTCCTTTTCGAGTATTGAAGCATACTTCAAGCTACTTCAGCGGCGGCCTGTGGCTGCAATGATATATCTGAATCCAAAGATACAAAAAAATGTCGTTCCTTCCTCCACATGTGCTCTTTCTCTCATCTTCAAAAGAGAACAGCGAGGTTCACTGCGACAAACTTTTTTTGAACGATCAAAAAGGGTCACCAGTCACTCCAAACTCCAGACGAGGCAGGTGTTGATGAGAGACGCTGGCCACAAACGAGGCTGCCAAGAACCTTCTCTTTGAAGGATTTGAGCAGGCTGAGCATCCAAAAAGGGTCAATAGAGAGACCAAAAAGAACAGAAGAAGCACCGCAAGGACACAAGAAGAAGCCCCGGCCAGCGCTACCTGTTTTGAAGGATTCGGGACGAAAGACGGCCAATTTGCACCTCCATTGATGGAGCACAACCGGGAGATGACGTATTAAGTTGCCTCGCTTTCCCGCTTCACGTGTTATTCATGGAGAGGATATAGAGGGAGGCCATCTGATGCACCTCCAGTACGGGAGGAGAATTAGAGCTTAGCGCGCAGAGCAAAGATTTTTGTAAAGCCCTTCGAGTGGTTGTCGCAGTGTAACTCCTTGGGTATGGTTTGCCACGTATTCGGTATTCCCAACTGCCAAGTGGCTGATCAGAGATATGGATCCACCTCAGCACTTCACCCGTCCCGTTTCTCAGGCCAAGGGGTGAGTCTAAGCACTTCACATTGCGTTAGAAAGCAAAGAAATGGCTGGTTCGTGAATATGGGGGTTTCTTGAAATGGGGAGATCCCCAAAACCATGGGTTTTGATACTAAAATGGTCCAGCCCGGATGATTTTCGGAAACCTCCATTTGCTATAGAAACGGCTGTTTGGAAATGGTCTCCTTGAAATATATATATCATTATATATCTATATTTTCATACCAAAGTCGATTGTGATCATCCTCCCATTTGTTGGATGAAAAGAATGAAAGCTTTGAAACCACCAACCAAATGGTTTTCCCCCCAGTTAAACTACAAAGATTGGTTCCCCCAGTAAGACCAAGCAGGCTTGAATAAATCCAGGGTTGGACCACTTTGTTGATGAAAAGGCCGCAGAGATAACTGTGGCACCCCTGCCATTTTATGTTGGATAAGTATACCAACCCTAGCTCTTACAGAGTTCGCGGATGGTCGAAGTGGTCAAGGCACTTGCTGGAATCGCTGCACTTGTAGTCTTTGCAAAACTTCAGCTCGCAACACTCCTGCGAGGCTAGTTGGTTGCTGTTGGGCAGGTGCCTTGACTCCGCGTCCCTTAGATCTAGGTGTTCAGGAAGATGGCAGTCTCATCCGTCATGATGTGGTGTGGTCCCTTGTAAAAATGAAACATCCAGGGTCCCGGACCAGGGGTTCCAAGAACTGGTGCCTGGTGCATCTTAAATTTACCCTCAACCGAGGACCTTTTCAGCTGAAAGCGGCCGCATCACAATTCTGCACGCCAAAAACCACTAGCCAGAGAGGTACTCCAGGGGCACTACTTCACCAACTATGATGCTAAAATGTCTGGCAACGAGATTACATGGGTCTGGGTGATCATGTGTGTGGTGTCGGTATATGTATAATATGATAATGTATGTATACAATGTACTGTAAGGAGTAAGGAGTAATGCAATGCAATGAAATGCAGTGCAAAATATAATGTGGTGTAGTCGAATGTAGTGTACTGTAGTGTAATGTAGATGTAAATGTGATGTAATGGAAATGCTGATGTTAATGCTAATCTTACTGTTAATGATAATGTTGATGATAGTGTCAGTATTCATGTCAATGCATGCATTCATGCTTGCCTGTATGTGTATGGCGCCAGGAACCATGGAATTCTGATTAAATGGGGCAACCTAAACCCCATTCAGAATCTAAACGTTGGCAGTTTTATTCATGGCCATCTTGGGGACCCTTCTGAAAGTGATGCGGAAAAAATCCAACCAATGGCTCAAGTGACTAAGGGGTGACCATCCAATTTCTGGATCCCTCGAAAACCAACCAGGTTGTCCTCATCGGTGGACCCAGGTCGTTCATGCGGCTTCACCTTCTTCTGCATCGTAGTGGTATCTGGCCAGCCATGGCCAGCCCCATCCCGTCCGGAAACATCAATCTTCTCTACCTTCCATCAATATATGGCGATTTGTTTAACAAAGAATCAGAGGGGAAGAATCAGCCATAATGGGAATACATTCATACATTCCATTCCATTCCATACCATACCATCCCATACCATACCATCCCATACCATTACATTACATACCATCACATTACATTACATTACATTACATACCATCACATACCATTACATGCCATTACATACCATTACATACAGTGGATATGTGTGTGTGTAATTATACATATATATATATATACAGTGGATGGGTAGAGACCTAGCAAAAACAAGTTGGCGTCAGCTGGTGCAACTCGCCGTCCAGAGCTCACCCAGCGGGGAATCCGGTAAATTCACATAGACCCTGTCAGACTCATAGGGCTTTGGAAAGTTTGGAAGATGAGTTTCCACTAACACTGAACATCACTGAACTATTTTCAGGGTCTATGTTAATTGGGAGGATTCCGGGAGGATGGTAAAACTTGAAACCATCTTCGATTTCTGTTGCTGATTGCATCCCCTTTACCCTAGCTGCTCTTATGAAACCTTTCCACCGCTGTTTGCGGCCTAGTGCAGTGGAAAGGGCTGGGGAAATGCTCCCCTGGTCTAAACTCCTGGAAAAATGTATTGGCACGATCCAATCTTCGGAATACCCGTTCTGGTACTTTAACATAGCGAAAAAGCTACTTAAATCCTCCATAGATGGGCCATTATCCATAGCTATGTGAAGAAAACCAGAAGCTACCCATTCTGGGACAGATCTGCATTCATGATCTTCATGTCAAAAAAGGGGTCCCACGATTGCTACGCCAAGGGCTATTATGCCAGAAATTCCACCTGTCCGCCTGTTGTGTGAAACTGCCATCATCCAACAGGCCACAAAATCTTGCCAGAACAGATAGCAACCCCAGCTGTTGGTGATTTTTTGGTGATCCATTTCAGCAGCAAACCGAAAGAAATCTTTGAAAGAAAAGGTGACCCCAGGTGGTCTGGTCTCAACTTAGCCCAATAAAAAAAAGTCCCCACTTTAAAAATAATGTTGTAATAGGTTTTGATAAATGAAACATCCGGATTCTCCCACGCCCCGAGTGGAGTTTGGGTGTCCCCCACTGCTGCAGCTATAGGTGCTGCAGAGCAAGTTCTCGCAGCACTGCTCCACGGTGCTCCCTGCTAGCCACACATTCGTCAGGGTTCCTAAATCTGCCAAAAAAAAGTGATTGAACTGTTGAAACAAGAAAATCTTGGGAAAGTTCATCACATTTCACCACACAGAATTTGGATTTAACTGATTTCACCATTTCTGTCAAACCAAGCCATTTTGGATACCAAATTTTGACCAGGACCAGAGGCCATCGCACCACTCCCATGGCCAACTTTGGTGGTGAATCCAAGGATGATCGCCAAAATATCTGGCGTGACATGGCATGATGAACACTATGATCTTCATTGAATACCCCTATTGAATAGGGAATATTTTTTGGGAATATTTTGTTGGGAATATGAATACCCCTAGCTCCAAATCGCTCCCTCCTAACCACTGGATTTTTGGGTTTTTGGGCTTGGTTGCAAGTGAGACTTGCATCTGGGTGGAGTCAGTTAAACACCACTGGATAGACTATGATCTTCAAAAATATCCGTAAAAATCAAGTGTCATCATGCCGTGAGAATTTGCACTGCGCAGCCTGCCAAGGTCGCAGATGCGTTCTTGGGACGGAACTGCGTATTGTTGGGGCAGCCTCAGTGCTGGCTGCCCAGCAGTCCTTTTCCGGGGGTAAAACACAAAACAAACAAGAAGCAAAGCTACATATGACACAAAGATGCAAAAAATACGCAAGTATTGGAGTGATTGAAGCAAAGGTAAAATCACTGAGACCCCTGAGACCGAGATTGAAACAAACCAATGCTTTTATGAGCTTCAGTGTGTCCCTGTGCCCGAAAAATGCCACAAGCACTTCTCTTGACTTTTACTTGTTCCTGATCTGTCAAAACATGGTACTCAAAGAATCGAATCTGGATTGTCTATAGTCTTATCTGCAGCATTCCATATCATATCATTCCATATCTGTAGTATAGGGATGTGTCAGAAATCCCAAACCTCTCTTGCACTTTGACCGCATTTTCAAGGTTCAGCGGTTTGGTTCAGCCCAGAAGCTGAAATCCTTGCACAAGCGAGGTTCACCTCAGACGAAAACGGATGAATCGACCTCTTTCGAAGGCTGGGATTGAAAAACAGGTCCGTTTATTCTTGGCAAATGATCACTTTTTTGCCAGATTACTCTACAGACAATAATAAGGTCTTATCCTTTTTGGATTTTGGGTTGACACTACTCTGTTTGGAACCACCTGGTAATTGTCAAATAGGGATCAGCAAAAAGAAACACTGAACCATGTTCGTTTCAGGTACAAAAACCAAACTTGCTGTGGGTCATTTTTGGATGTCCTTGGCTTCTCGGTCTTACTTGTATGCTTCAAATGAAAGGGATTGATGAGGACCATGCAGTTCACTATATGCTCCAACCAGAGAAGATGATGACGTTTTCCACACGTCAGCGTGGCAACCGGAAAGTGGTGCCAACCATGAAATCCCTATGGATTGATGGCAATGGTGTCCCACCAGTTGGGAACTCTTTTTTTCCGGAGCGTTGCACGTTCACAGATCTTTCTAATGTGGAGGCTCAATGTCTGTTCTCCACCTTTTCCTGGTTTTCCTAACATATCTGTATATTATGTAGGTATATATGTATACATACAGTGAGCTACCTATCTATCTATCCATCCTGCCAGGAAACCAGAACACTTCACTTCACTCCACCGAGCGGCAGCATTCTGACAGCTCATTTCCGGTGACCTCCGCCGCGTTGTCCTGCAAAAAAAAGGTTCAGTCACAATGGAATCATCAAGAAATCGGATGGAACATCACAATGATACTCATCATAATAGTAATAATAATAACAATAATAGTAATAATGGCAATAATAAGAACAGTAATAATAATGATAATCATAATCATAATAACAGTAATAGTGATTTAAAAAAAAATGCTAGTAACTAGCAACAACAATAATGAAACCACAAACCAGAAATGAATTCTTCCAAGGGAGCAACTGTCTCACAAAATCACAAAGTTTGGTAAGATCTCTTTGCGAACCAATGGAACAACTGCAAGACCAAGAAGAATGGGAATGTGCAATGCACATACTATACTACAGTAGTATACTCCAGAACCAAAGGCGTAAACTCGATTTTAAACCTGGATGGCTTGCACCAGCCATTTGTGGGGGAAAAAAATAGATGCTGTACAAAAAACTTAGCTCCTGCGATGGGTGCTGCCAGAGGAACCAATGGTTACCATGGTTAGCATCCCTGGATCCAGATATTATCTTCAAGGGTATGGAAATATGAACCATTGATAGACGATTCAAGGGAAAGTCTACAGGAAACTGCCTTTTTTGCTGGGCTCTTTTTTGGCCATCCATACCTCGCTATTGGCAAGGTCATCTGGCAGCGCCTTAAAGAATATGGAGGAAAAATGGAGTCAAACTTGTGGACCACCGCGAATGATGACATTCTACACAGGTTCATCCAGAAAACCGAGCAAGTTTGGGAGTAAACCCCCATCTTCACGTCTATCGTAGTACAGCCATATGGTGAACCAATCTACAGCCCTAAAGCTTCAGTCAGGCCTCAGCCGAGTAGTTTGCCTTATCTCCCCATCCCCGGACTAAACCACACCTTCAACTTCCAAAGGCTTTCAAGCTCTTTCCTGCAGCCCGCTGAAACCCTGCTTAAAATCAGCCCAATTGGAGATGGATCGCGTTTCTTTGGATCATCGCCCAGAGGTGATTCGTGGCAAGTCATTGAAGTGGGGCTGCCCAAATCATGGGAATCATGTGACTTGCGATTTCAACCATGGCAGTTTTGAAGGTAAAACATGCCACAGTGGCAAAAGGTAGTCGATGGATCTTCTGCATATATTGGGTTTGTCCAAAACTGGGGCACTCCCAAATGCCATAGTTTATCTTCATGTTCCCTTTCAAAATTGGCCCAAATTGAAGGCCCATTCCCATGTTTTGCTCAAAACTGGCTGGTACTCCCCATGCTTGAGGACAAACCCATATTACAAGGTGGGGCCCCCTACACAGTGAAGTTGGTTTGTAACTATATCAACTATAATCTATGGTAGATCATGATATATCTACAATCTATCCTTCATGAGGTTTACACACCTAGTGGCGGGCACCACCTTGTAACCACCTCACCCTTCTACAGCGCCCAGCGGCGGAATTTGGAACTCGTCGCACTTCTGCTCTTCGCAACACTCCACATCACCTCAAGCAGTGCTTTCTATCTACCTACCCGTCTATCTATCCATCACCAAACCAGGTAGAACAGCGTGGACCCAGACTGTACGCCATCGGCGGAGGCTGAGGTGCGGCACCCCATCCCTTCACCGTGACGTTGTTGTTGGAGGCTGGATCCAAAACCATGGTGGGTTTCTTCCGCATGATGCGCACATCGGAGCAGGTCCAGTCCAGGCCTCAAGAACGGCACAGAAAGTCGTTGCTGGCTATGAGACATTTGGTTTTGACCCTAAAATTAGGTCTACCCAAAATTGCCATGCTATTTCAGAGGGAAACTCTGGTTTCGACTCATGGTGTATGTTCCAGTTGGGGAACATGCTATCCCCCTACCTATACCTAGCTAGCTTGGCAACAGTAGCATATCTCCAGAGACATACATAGACATGTGAACAGATTGTATATAACTGTTTAACTGAACATCTATGTTTTATATATATATATAATCCCCCTTCACATTAGCCCCCAGACGATGAGAGCTCCATTCTGTAGGGTGCCCAGCCTATCCCCCTACAAAATGGTATGGGGACACCTACAAAATGGTAGCACCCATGGGGGTTGCTGCCTACAAAATGGTGGCACCAGGGTACCCCACCTGCCCACCAACATCAAGTATTTTGGGTTAACATAGTGTCCAAAAAACTGTGAAAAATGGGAGAACCATTTTGTAAGACACAAAGCAACCCTGTGGTCGCACCATGGTCTTTTTTGGGCGACCAATTTGTAGACAGTTTACTCTGAATGAAATTTCTTCTTAAAATCTCTCAAGCAATCCTTGCATATCTCACATTTTTGCATCTTGTGCATCTGGCAATCGGGCTTCATAAAGTATCGTCCAACAGAAGTAGTCAGATAGACTGGACCGAAGTCGTGGTCATCGCTTTTTTTTCTGGACCGGGGCTGGTTTCAAAATTTTGGAGGCTTTGAAAACTTTGCGATCATCTCCACCACAAAATCCACATGGTCGGCAGACACACTTTCTAAGTAGGATCCCCATCGCCAAGCCTATTGCAAAGGCAGCCACCACAATCCCCTCCAACAAACCCATGTAGCTTGGCACTCGAGATTCTTACAAAATATGTCTTGAACCAGCATGAACCAGCTACAAAATGGTAGTGCCCTCCAACAAACCCATGTAGCTTGGCACTCGAGATTCTTACAAAATATGTCTTGAACCAGCATGAACCAGCTACAAAATGGTAGTGCCAGAGTATCATGAACATGCTTGTGGATGTGATGGCGCCCTTCCATTTTGTAGACAGGTTGTTTGTTCTGGATGGTTCTGGAGGGCCATTGAAAGTCATAAAAAAAAAAATCTAGCTTTCCCATTTTTCACATTTTTGGACATTATGTTAACCCAAAATACTTGAAGTTGATGGGCAGGTGGGAGACATACTTAGGCTTCCATAGGTTTCCTGCTTCATTCAGCACTGGTTCTCTGTTAACCAAAAGCGGTTGATATTTTTTTGTGTTCAAATATATTTACATTTGTGGATGTATTTATCAACTCCCCGTACCCATCTACAAAATGGTATTCCAAATCTTCTACAAAATGGAGGTGCCTGACACTGGCATATGATCTTGTTCTCATATAAAGTGATGTTGGGTGTGTATAAGCAGGTCTCTTTCTACAAAATGGAGTGCCCCGACGGCACAAAAAAAAACATAAAATCTGATTTATAGGGGGCCCAAGGCCTACCATTTTAAATGGGAAATGTCAACGGGGATCATGCTTGTGGATGTGATGGCGCCCTTCCATTTTGTAGACAGATTGTTTGTTCTGGATGGTTCTGGAGGGCCCTTGAAAGTCATTTAAAAAAAACATCTAGCTTTCATCCCCCTTGAAATTCGCCCCGAGAGGTTGGGCCTACCAAAGTGTAGGGTGCCCAGCCTACCTCCCTACAAAATGGTATGGGGACACCTACAAAATGGTAGCGCCCATGGGGGTTGCTGCCTACAAAATGGTGGCACCAGGGTACCCCACCTGCCCACCAACATCAAGTATTTTGGGTTAACATAGTGTCCAAAAAACTGTGAAAACTGGGAGAACCATTTTGTAAGACACAAAGCAACCCTGTGGTCGCACCCTGCTCTAACCGCTTTTGGTTGGCTCAGCAGTGCCGGCCGCTGCCCCCAAGCCCTCGAACTAGCTGATTGTCAGTGGCCATGCTGCGCTTTCACATGGCGTTCCTGCTGATCGTGGGATTGGTTGGGGAAGGCGTCAAGGTGGCTGACGACACAGCCACACAGACGCCAGAGGAATGGCATCTTGTCTTCGAACGTGACTGATTGGGACAGTTGCCAGGAATAGGACAACTCCAAGAAAGACACTTCAAGAATTGGGCGCAGTAAAAAAAAAACAAGGAAACTTTTTTGTTTTTACCAATTCCATTTGGAGCTACAAAATGGTAGGCCATTTCCATTGGCAGCTACAAAATGGTGGGATACAGAAATAGTTAGACCATGTAGTCTATGAATGGTGACCATCCATTTTGTAGACTGGTATGGGCTAGCTGGCCAGAGTTTGCAATGGGTTACCCAATGTTCTTTTACTAAGGTGGTTCAAACCAGAACAACACAAAGAGACGCTTCTGGATTGGATGTCCTGGTTGTCTTGCCGGGTGCAGAAGCGGTACCACGTGCTAGACCTTAACTATTTCTGTATCCCACCATTTTGTAGCTGCCAATGGAAATGGCCTACCATTTTGTAGCTCCAAATGGAATTGGTAAAAACAAAAAAGTTTCCTTGTTTTTTTTACTGCGCCCAATTCTTGAAGTGTCTTTCTTGGAGTTGTCCTATTCCTGGCAACTGTCCCAATCAGTCACGTTCGAAGACAAGATGCCATTCCTCTGGCGTCTGTGTGGCTGTGTCGTCAGCCACCTTGACGCCTTCCCCAACCAATCCCACGATCAGCAGGAACGCCATGTGAAAGCGCAGCATGGCCACTGACAATCAGCTAGTTCGAAGGCTTGGGGGAAGCGGCCGGCACTGCTGAGCCAACCAAAAGCGGTTGATATTTTTTTGTGTTCAAATATATTTACATTTGTGGATGTATTTATCAACTCCCCGTACCCATCTACAAAATGGTATTCCACATCTTCTACAAAATGGAGGTGCCTGACACTGGCATATGATCTTGTTCTCATATAAAGTTATGTTGGGTGTTTATAAACAGGTCTTTTTCTACAAAATGGAGTGCCCCGACGGCACCCAAATTTCCATAAAAACTGATTTATAGGGGGCCCAAGGCCTACCATTCCATATGGGAAATGTCAAGGGGGATTATATATATATACATGAAGGTTTTGGCTTTGGGGTGTAACAGCACACCACGTTTAGCCCTTGCTCTAAACCTGAAGCGGGTTCACGTTCCACCAACCCGCGGGCGATTTTGCGATATCTCGCCTTGCTTTGGATCTTTGCTGTGTTTTGCGTGAACTGGTTTTGCCCTGCGCTTCCAGCATTGGTTCCTTGCAGTTCTGCTGTCCCGGCAGCGTAATCCCACCCGGGCACATCGTGTTTGACTTCCTTTTTGCATTTGACCTGTTTCTCGGGCTTTGCACCATTGGTCTTCTTTTTGTACATGGTTGTGAACTTCCTGTTTGTCTTCATCTTCATCTTTGTGACGCCTGTGTCCGAGCACTACGGCGAATTCTACAAGGCGGAGAAGGGAAAGAAGACTCAGAGCTGGTGCCAGACTCCGCTGGCATCTTTTTGTCAAGGGCTTCAAGGCATTGACACAGTCACAACTGGCATCAATCAAGACCCGGCTGCAGAAGCACCATTTGCGAGATCCCACGTGGATACGCAGAATTACGGCAGCAATGTGGAAGCAACCGAAAGATCCGTGGCGCTGCCTCAATTGCAGCAAACTCAACAGATACAATATCAACTGTTGCGGAGATTGTGGTGGTCACTGGGAGGACTTCATGGACCATTCTTTTGTGCCCCCCAGCCAACAACCACAGCAAAGACAAGCACAGATGTCTTCAGCTCATTCGCAGCAGTGGGAATCGTCCGGAAGATCTTATTCGAACTGGACGCAGCCGGAAACATGGCAGGAGCAGGACTGGGGCGATTGGGAGAGCGCCTCAGAGTCATCAAGAAGCTCTTCTACCAGAAGATTTCCGCATTATCAGAAACCTCGTCAAGGCCGTCGAGCACAGCATCATCAACAACGGCCTCAAGTCCCAGCACAGAGCAAAAAGGGCAAGAGCAAAGGGAGCAAAGGTTCGAAAGGCCACAAAGGCAAAGGAAAGCATCATATCGAGCCACCGCCATGGTCCTCAAGTGCAGCCCAACCTCCTGCGCCGACGTCAGCTACGCCAGCGCAGTCAAGAGCCGAGGCCAAACTGCACGAGATTGTGTCGGTGCTCAAAAAGAAAGACGATCCAGAATTGCAGACATTAGCAAAAGAAGCAGATGTTCTGCAGAACAAGACGGCCACCTCCAAGCTCCACAAGGCCGTCACTGTCCATGGGGATGCCAAGACGGCAGTTTTGGAAGCCCGCCAAGCCAGGGCGAACCTCCATGCGTCCTGGAAACAGTACCTGGAGACAGCAGTCACGACGTGGAGATCCTTCCTCGAAGACTTCGACAAGGAGGACAGACGTCTCGAAGAGCTCATTGGCAAGGCGGACATGAATCTGCAAGCTGCTCAGAACTCATTAGACGAGGCCAAGAAAGCAGCGACAGAGGAGGAACTCAAAGACCAAATCGAGACCATCGAGGACGAAGACGAGGGATTGGACAGGACTGCCAAGTCCAGCCAGGTCATGCGAGAAGGGCTCAAAGGCATGCTGGATGGCCTAGAGCAGTTGCATGCGAGAACGGAGGAGATTTGTGTAGAAACAGGAAACAAGCGCCAAAGGGTGGACGATGGCAACAAGTCATCTGCCATGCAGCCTTTTGGTGGGGCCGGTCGTTAGGCCAACAGGTTAACGATCAATGGCCCGAAGGCACAAGTTGTTCCCTTTTGAAATGGGGACACACTTGCATCTATGAGGACAACTTTTTGAGTCCGTGGCAAGCAGTGGATGACGCTTGGAAACTTTCTGCTCAACTTGGGAGTTGGCAAGAGCGAGGAGAGCGCACACAGGTTCCATTGCCACGAACTAGAAAGCGTTTGTCAACAATTGATCAGACATCACATCTGTCCTTTGATGAATGTGTGGAGAT